GAAGACATTATTGGTCTTTGCAACCGTGTGAACACCACCATGTCCTAGTCGGAGAAGATTCAACACATCCTCAAAGGGATAAATGACGGCGCATTTCAGATGATGCTGGCCCGTAATCCTGCCACCGTTGTGGAACTTATCACTTTGTGTCAAAGTTTCGACGAGTTGAGCAAGCAGCGCGCCCTGACTCGGCCATTTCCCTCACATGCCGACTCGCTCTCCAGTCTCACTTCCGTTCCGGACCACTCACCAACCCTGCAAGAGATTAAAGACTTCGTGCGTGAAGAAGTAGCTCGGCAACTGTCGTTGATTCCCATCACGCAGCAGCCGCCATCCTCTCGTCTGTCCTCACCACTCCGCGATGTTATTGCCGAAGAGGTAGCTCAGGCTGTTCCCGTCGCTGCCCACCAGCAGCCTGTGCCCATGCCTGTTACCCATCCGCCGGCTATGCAGCCCGTGGCCACGCCTCTTACGTATGCCCAGGTGGTACGCAGCAGACCCCGCCAGCAGCATTTGCCACCCATGTCTTCAGTTGCTCTCCACTCCACCCCTTTTTCGACACCTTGGGCCGCACCACGAGCCAGCAATTCCTGGCGCACTCCTGACAATCGACCGATCTGCTACGCCTGCGGTACTCCAGGACATGTGGCACGATATTGTCGCCGTCGCTTCCAACCACTCCACGACGCTACTCGGCCGTTACAGTATGACCCACAGCCCATGCACATACCTGCTCCCTATCCCTCACCGCAGTATGGATACACTAACTTTCCCGAGTGTCGGTCACCCCAGCCCTCGCCTCAGACTCACTTTACCCGCTCCCCATCTTCTCGCAGGCAATCACTGTCCCCAATGCGTCCTCGACCCGCTTCCTCCAACCGGGAAAACTGAACGCCGCAGTTCCAGAGGCAAGAACTGCGCCGTTGTCGAACTGTTCAAGTCCTCGCACTTCACCTGCTAACGTCGTCACCACATCTGTCGATGGTGTCTCTACCTTTGCCCTCGTCGACACAGGTGCTGCCGTTTCTGTTATAGCCGCTCAGCTCTGCCGCTCCCTACGCAAAGTTACCACGCCGCTCTCTGGACTATCGCTTCGTACAGCTAGCGCACAACCAGTTGGACCTCTCGGCACCTGTACGGCCCGCATACTCATCCAAGGCTCTATGTACGTTGTCGAGTTCATCGTCCTTTCGGTGTGCTCGCATGACGTTATCCTTGGGTGGGACTTTCTGTCAAATCATCATGCCATCATCGACTGCGCATGTGCTGAAGTTCAATTTTTGCACCTGTGTGACGAACCTTTGCACGAAACCCTTGAGCGGTCGCCAAACTTGTCGTGCGTGAGGACACTGAAATTCCGCCAGCCTCTCTTGCCGTTGTCCCTGCTTGCTGCGATGACCATAATGATGCTACGATAATGTTTACACCTTCCGACATTTTCATGAGCCGCAGAGTTGTTTCTTTGTCGTTCGCTACACTTGACGTCACTGCTGGCCCAAGCAATATTTTCGTCCACAACCCCCTTTCTGCACCGCTTACGCTACTTGCCGGCGAATGTCTCGGTCGAGTGGATTACCTTGATTCTTCTTTATTCCTTAACATGCCAGACGAATCGTGCAGTAGCGCCTCGACCGAGGCGCTACTGCACGATTCATGCACTTTCCCCACTGGAATGCTCGTCGAGTGACACTTTCTCGAGTTCCATCGCCGACACCTTAAGTGCTCAAGAACGCGCCGAGCTTCTTAATCTCCTCCAGCACTTCGTGAATTCATTCGACATTTCTCAGCCGCAATTGGGTCGTACTTCCGCAGTGCACCACTACATTGACACCGGTTCGCGCCAGCCATTGCGTCAAAGACTGTACCGTGTCTCTGCTGCAGAACGTCACGTCATCAACGACCAGGTCGAAGAGATGCTACATCGTCGCGTTATTCAACCATCGCACAGTCCTTGGGCATCTCCTGTCGTTCTAGTTCAAAAGAAGGATGGATTGATTTGATTTTGCGTCGACTACCGGCGATTAAACGAGGTGATGCGGAAAAACGTCTAGCCATTACCGTGCATTGACGACGCCCTAGACAGCCTTTAAGGAGCCGAATTCTTCTCCTCCTCAGACTTGCGATCTCGATACTGGCAGGTTCCTATGGCAAAAGCTGATCGCCAGAAAACTGCGTTCATTACACCAGATGGCCTGTATGAATCTAACGTAATGCCTTTTGGGCTTTGTAATGCCCCTGCCACGTTTGAACGACTCATGGACAACACACTGCGTGGACTGAAGTGGTCTGTGTGTCTACGCTACCTCGACGACATTGTCGTTTTCTCTCCCGATTTTTCTACACATCTGCTTTGGCTCCAACTGGTTCTGACGTGTTTAACCAACGCTGGGCTCCAACCGAACCTTAAAAAGTGCCGCTTCGCCGCACGAGAGCTGTCCATCTTAGGGCACATCGTGTCCAAACATGGTGTTCTACCCGACCCTGCAAAACTGCGAGCAGTCGCCGAGTTCCCGAAACCTACTACACTGAAAGAATTACGCAGTTTCATCGGACTATGCTCGTACTTCCGGCGCTTCGTTCGAAATTTTGCGTTGATCATGTCGCCACTGACCAACCTCCTACGCAGTGACGCAAACTTTTCATCCTGGTCTCCTGACTGCGACATCACGTTTGCCACGCTCCGTAGTCTGCTAACATCTCCTCCCATTCTACGGCATTTCGACCCAACAGCTGCAACGGAAGTTCACACAGACGCTAGCGGGGTTGGTCTTGGTGCTGTCCTCGCCCAGCGCAAGCCGGGCTACTCCGAATACGTCGTCGCTTATGCGAGTTGCACGCTCACTAAAGCTGAGGCCAATTACAGCGTCACTAAAAAAGAGTGCTTAGCGCTAGTGTGGGCGCTTCGCAAGTTCCGCCCTTATTTGTACGGTCGCCCATTCGACCTGGTAACGGACCACCATGCACTTTGTTGGCTCGCCACATTGAAAGATCCTTCTGGCCGCCTAGCTCGGTGGGCACTGCAAATCCAAGAGTACGACGATCGCGTGATCTATCGCAGCGGACGCAAGCATTCTGACGCCGACGCCCTCTTCCGTTCGCCTTTACCTCCCAACTCGGCCTGCGGAACCACTGGTACCAACTCCGTCGTATCTCTCGACCTCGACTCATTTGCTAGTGAACAACACAAGGACCCATAGATCGCTTCCCTTTTTGACTGTCTCTCTGGATCGTCAACCACTGCGGTATCACGATCTCCCCGACATCAAGCTGCTCATTTCGCCATTCGTGATCGGCTGATACACCGACGCAACTACGCCCCTGAAGGTCGTAAGTGGCTCTTGGTTGTCCCCCGCAGCTTGCGATCACAAATATGCACCACCTTTCACGACGATCCCCAATGTGACCATTCTGGAGTTTTCAAAACTTAGAACGCATTCGCCGTCGCTTCTACTGGCGCGGAATGTATAATTTTGTTTGAAAATTCGTTATGGGCTGCCCTGACTGTCAACGCCGCAAATCATCGCCTTTTCACTCATCCGGTGCGCTTCAACCGCTCCCGTGCCCTGCCAAACCTTTCGATCGAATCGGAATTGATCTCTATGGCCCTCTACCAACAACATCAGATGAAAATCGGTGGATCATAGTCGCTGTGGACCATTTAACATGCTACGCTGAGACCGCCGCCCTTCCAAGTGCCACTGCGCAGGACGTAGCGTCCTTCATCCTCCATCGATTCGTACTATGACATGGTGCTCCTCGAGAACTACAATGTGACCGAGGTCGAGCCTTCCTATCAGAAGTCGTCACGCTCTGCTTTCTGAATGCCATGTTGTTCATCGCAAGACCACGGCATACCATCCGCAGACTAACGGGCTCACGGAGAGATTTATCCGCACCGCATTCTTCCATTCATCACGTTCGCATACAACACCGCGGCGCAGTCCACCACTAGGTTTTCACTTTTCTTTCTCCTTTATCGACACTCTCCTTCCATACCATCCTGACGCATCCGAATGCCCATCTGTGTCCGAAGCTGCCCGAAAAGCGGAAGAGTGCCATGAACTCGCACGCACCTTTACGTCACAAGAACAGCAGCGCCAGAAAGAAAACAACGCCGGCTCTTCACGAAGCCACAGCTATTCCCCGGGATCATTTGTATGGTTGGCTGTTCCTTGCCAAACCCCCGGCCTTTCCTCAAAACTCGTCCCGAAGTACGAGGGTCCTTACCGCGCTTTGGAGCAAACCTCGCCGGTGAATTTTCTCATTGAGCCACTTTCCCCGTCTGACGACATGCGCCGGCGTGGACGTGACATCGTCCATATCGCCCGCCTTAAGCCATATTATAGCCCTCTGCTTCTAGACTCTTGTCGCCAGGATGGCTCTTTTTCGGCGGGGGAAAATTGTAAAGAAAACGCATCGTTGGCATGCAACATCGCCACCGCTTGGGTACTAAGTCCTGGGCTTCGCTCGCTCGCCTCGTGCTGATCGTCGCCGGCATCTGCTTGACCGTTGCACTGTACCGATCGTGTTTTCATCGTAGGGCCACCGTCGCAATACACGCCAATAAACCCCTTTTCATTATTAATATTTCCACGTTTTAGACATGTTGGCTCAATATAGTTTCCTCAAACTTGCCATGTGAAGTGTCTGGCTTTATTACAACACTATGCTGTTAGTTTTTATCAATTAAGAATCATGTAGGTCTTAGCAGATGTCATCGAAACCTATGATGCCACGGTGAGAGGTGTGGGAGCTTTATCACCATACTCGAGGGTGCAGTGCAGATATTTTGAATATATTTACGTTGTGGGTTCTCTCATTCCTTACCTTGAGAAAGTGTAAGCCTACAGCACGATGGAGTCACCTTAAAAAGAAAGGTGTAGAAAAAAGTTTGTCGAGCAATAAACTTACAAAGTTGAAAACGAACCAATTAGCCAGTAGAAAAGTACTTATTGATTAAGTATTTAAGCACTGATTCTTTCTTTCTTTTTTTTCTGCAGTGCTCAGATGAGGTGAATGGCAGCATCCTATCTGAGATCGTCAAGATAGACGGCATGTCTATACTCGAGTTCGAGGCTGGCCCGATCTCCGTCACGGACAACTTATGTGACAGCGACGAAGAGTTCGACTACTGTTGCAGAAAGGCCAGTAGTCGCAATGCATTGGTGACTGCAAAACCCTTAGGACAGCCCAGTGTTAACATTGGTGACAGCAAATCCACTGCTGCAGTGTGTTCCGACCCCCCACTGTTCGCTAACTCGTCTGAACACGTGCACAGGGAGCGTCAAACTTCTATGTCCACCTGTGGTGATGCAGGACCGGCATTGATCACACCCGTCGTAGCGCCCACCGTCAGCATGTGTGCAAACCCTGATGTTTGTATGGATGCAGAGAAGCCTACTGGCAATGTTTTATGTGACAGTGCATCATTGTGTGTTGATTTCAGCTTTTGTGAGGATGATGGGGAGCCCTGGAGCAACATATTTGACTGTGAATTGCCATGTGCCGACAATATGTGGGTGGATGCAGAGAAGCCAACTGACACCAGTGACACTATGTTGCCGTTGGCCGACTCTACTGTGTCTCTAGATACAGGGGAGTCCACCAGCAACATCCGCTACAATACACCATTACGTGCAGACTCTAATGTGTGTGTTGATATGGAGGAGCATGTATATATGACGCCTAAAAATTCCGTTGTCGCTTGTGATGATGCAAATCGTCTGACTGCTGAAAAGGAGAAAGTGGGCGGTGATGTGGAGGAGCATGTATATATGAGACCTGAAAATTCCGTTGCCACTTGTGGCAATGGAAATCATCTGACTGCTGAAAAGGAGGAAGTGGGCGGTGATGTGGAGGAGCATGTATATATGAGACCTGAAAATTCCGTTGCCACTTGTGGCAATGCAAATCGTCTGACTGCTGAAAAGGAGGAAGTGGGCGGTGATGTGGAGGAGCATGTATATATGAGACCTGAAAATTCCGTTGCCACTTGTGGCAATGGAAATCATCTGACTGCTGAAAAGGAGGAAGTGGGCGGTGATCTGGAGGAGCATGTATATACGAGACCTGAAAATTCCGTTGCCACTTGTGGCAATGCAAATCGTCTGACTGCTGAAAAGGAGGAAGTGGGCGGTGATGTGGAGGAGCATGTATATACGAGACCTGAAAATTCCGTTGTCACTTGTGATGATGCAAATCGTCTGACTGCTAAAAAGGAGGAAGTGGGCGGTGATGTGGAGGAGCATGTATCTATGAGACCTGAAAATTGCGTTGTTACTTGTGGCAATGCAAATCGCCTGACTGCTGAAAAGGAGGAAGTGGGCGGTGATCTGGAGGAGCATGTATATATGAGACCTGAAAATTCCGTTGCCACTTGTGGCAATGGAAATCATCTGACTGCTGAAAAGGAGGAAGTGGGCGGTGATGTGGAGGAGCATGTATATATGAGACCTGAAAATTCCGTTGTCACTTGTGATGATGCAAATCGTCTGACTGCTAAAAAGGAGGAAGTGGGCGGTGATGTGGAGGAGCATGTATCTATGAGACCTGAAAATTGCGTTGTTACTTGTGGCAATGCAAATCGCCTGACTGCTGAAAAGGAGGAAGTGTGTGGTGTTCCTGACAATGTGCAGACATCGTTTAGTGCCAACACCTCACGGCACGCGAGTTCGCATGAGCATGGGTCTCGGCCACATGATGCCCTCCACATTCCTATCACTGCTGTGAAAACCATTCTGACAGTGACCGCATCACCTGATTCAGATCTTGATAATTCACCCATGACGCCCTCGAGTGCCGACCTTTCATCGGAAGCAAAGACACGGAAGCGGATTGACACAAGTGATGGTCACGCCTTCTACACATCTTTGATGCCCAAGGCGGTGGCAGTGAAGGTTGTCGCTTCATCAGAACGACCTCTCTGTCTCTCTAAGGCTGAATTACCCACTGCTAATTTATGCCTAAAGGAAAACAAAAAAGAACACATTGAAAAAATGAGTCTCCTGTTTAACTTGCACCGGATGAAAGAATCCCTCAACTTGAAATTGTTGCTTCATCGGAGGTAGAGCCCGGTCTCTGTAATAGTGTTTCCACTCCCACTCTCTTGCCTTCAAATGGTACACACTCGTGGCTAGAGGAGTTGCCAGAGGAACTAGAAGATGAAGTAAATTATGCAGTACATGAAAAGGAAAATGTTGTAGCTGTTTCAACCGCATGTATGACCAATGCTGCCTTCTCTTCTACGGCTGCATTGGGTGCAGTGGATGTGGAGAACGCATTTTCTCATGACGGCTGTTATAAATCGCCACACGGTGCAAGTTTGTCTACATTGTCACAAGAACAGGAGGCTATATGTGCAACTGTTTGTGATATTACTGACTCATTCGAACGTTGTGATGATAGAAGCAGCATGCCGAGTATAGAAGGCTTACTAGAGAACGACCAGAGAGCTGGTGAAACACCAAAGCTGCCCGAGCCTCTGCAAGAAATTGGGACTGATGCTGAGCCCACAACTAGTCATGAACCTGATGTTGTAGAGATTGTCATTAATTCACCGAGTCGGCTTGATACAAGTGAAGTTGTACAAGAATGCCACTATCAAGAGGAGCAAAGCTGCACCATGGTTGCAGAGACTCTCGTTGAAAAGGAGTCAAGCGCCAGAGTGCTCAGCCAACCTACAAGTGAAGTAAGCGTTGTGGAAAATCATGAAATTGCTAGCGAAGTTGAAATTCTTTCGACAGAGTCACCCAAGCTTTTAGAGAGACAAACCTGCAGTGAAGCAAGCTCATCAGAAACCTTTGAAGGTGGGACTGCATCACTGGAGGTGCCTATGTATTCAAAGGAACCTTGGAAAAGCACTGAGAATGTTCATTGCTACCATGACCTATATGCTTCAACATGTGCTCCTTGTGGACTGCCTAGTTTGGAAGGCAAAAGTGAGGGAGGTTTGCCACATTGTTCAGGGGCCACGAATGCGGCACCCTCTACAGAGCTGGCAAGACCTGTATTAAATGGAAGCGACATCATTCAGGGAAGCTCGCTAAGTAAAGCAACAAGTGAAACGATATCACCACCACAAGCCTTGTGCAATGAGCAAGCAGCTATCGAGGGTGTGCTCATTCATGATGGAAGCTTCTTGTCGAGAGCTGCCAGTTATTGCTCCAGTCCACCAGGTAGAAGGGAGGTGTACTCGCCAGAAAGCTCGGTAGCTGCAAGTGAAACACAGTCTGTGGGGTTGGTGGAGCCTTCACAGACTGGACACGGTGACAATTCAAGGACTGTTACAAATCACCCTGCATCTTCTGCCACTGCCGAACGCTATCGTTGAACCCACAGTTGTGTCCAGCCGAATCAGTGCACCAGGTCTTGTAGAGGGTTCCTTAGAGGAACTCTTACGGGATCCTCTGGCACCATCATTATACATTGCTGAGAGCATGTCAACTATTGGTCCTCGCAATTTTGTGCCACAGGGCCTTGGTGCTGAAGATTCATGTACAAATGCCTCATTGACAGAAAAGATTTCATTGCAGTCTAGTGACCTTAACATGAAGTACTTCACTGAGTTGAAGGGTAAAGGTGGATGTCTTTCACCGACTGCTACTGCTCCGAATCAGCGACCTACTTGCAGTTTAAAGAGAACAAGGAGCCCCTCGCCAAGTGCAACATTAAGCACTACTGCTTCGACCATCTAGTCATGCAGGAGGTGATTCAGGCACTTTGCAACAGTGCATGTCAACTGGATTACTACTGCGATCAACAAGCACTTTATGCAACAAACCTTCTAGTTCTGATGTACAGGAGGGTAAAGTGAAGCGAGCTAGACAGGGTTGCGAAGCAATGAAAGTTACCATAGGCACGACTGCAACGGGGAAAGCTGTTATCCTTCGTGTTTCAGGTCTACAGAAAAGCGTGCAGAATGTATTACTCAAGTTACCATCTGATGCCGTCACAGGTGGCAACACACAGACTGCAGCTGTTCAACCAATGAACAAACAGGCACGTGCTCGAAATGCAAGAACAAAACAGCAGGAGCAAGTAGCGAGTACAGTTGCGAGCAAAGTGCGTAAGAGTAAGACAACAGAAAAGCAAAATAAATCACCTCTGCCTCCGAAACAAAACGTCACTCGTACTGGTTTTGCAGCCGTGGACAAGTTGGCCGCCATCAAAGAAGCCTTGGCTGCACCGATGGCCAATGAAAGTGCACCAAATAAGTCCAATGTAAATGCAAGAGCTCGGAGGCAAAGTGGCCGAACCTGCCCAAATAAAAAGAAGAGGCAGCCTAAAAAGTGTCCAATAGCGTCGCCTAAAGAAGCAAAACGGGTTTTGAGCGTAAAAGGGAAAGGTGGCACCCCAAATGAGCAAGTAGTTCCAGACATGGGGCCTGTCCTCAGCCCCACATCTAGTGACCTCAGCTCCATAAGCTCAAAACCAAGCAAAAGCAGCTTTTCTAGCACTTCCTACAATGCCGCCAGCTCCTTCTCGACTTCTAAAACGGAGAACTCTCGGCGATCAAATAGAAGTTTCAAGTCTGCCGAGGATTACATAGAAGCGATAAAAAACAGTCGCTTCCCGATGAAGGAGAGTGGGAGTGGGTTTCCTGGGTACCATACCGTGCTGGCAAGTCGTCCACCTTACAAGAGTGACAAGAAGTCAACTGTGATAGCACCAAGGCGTAGACGGACACAAGCAGATACGTCTGCTAGGCCAACAACTGAAGCAGCTTCTGCCACTTTTGGTGCGGAGCTAGATCAGGTATGTCTCCGAGCTGTCTGCCTCCACGGACGTTAGTCATTATGACAATGTTCTTTCAGAGTTGTTATTTAGCACTGCATAGCCGTGTTGCTGTTTTTTTTTTTCCTGAAGGTATCAAGGGGTCCAGCAGCAGAAACTGCATTGTGATTTTGTAAATAAATGTACATACTAGTCCAAATCATTTTATTGCACATTGCCTAGCATTTATTCTCGTGATTGATAGCTTTACTATTGAAACATTTTCATTGCAATGCATACAAGGCTGTCATCATAGGATACACAAAGATTGGGAGCGCTAAATTGTCCACTTGAGTTGTGAATGCTTCGAGGTATGAGTCAAGGCAGAGAACCACAACTAACAGCAGTGTGTTTAAATGCCACACAGTCGGCACAGCCACAAGTAACAGAGGGAAGTAGAATACAAACTGTGTGACAATGGCGGCAAGTGTCCCTTCTGCAGTCTTTGATGTGCCAGGCCACTGGTGCTTACCGAGCTTTGACCCAACAACTGACTGCTGCGGTATCCCCTATGCCGAGTGCGACCGTGCCGCTAAGTAAAATTGGCATTTTGCCTGGGTCTCCCATCGGTCCCGGAAAGAGCAGCAGGGGTGCGGCACAACCAGCGAATAGATAGGCAGGTGTCAGAATGAGCGTGCCTGCAGTCCTTTTCGTCTACGAACATCGCAAAGGCGTTCTGTATGCGCGGCCCTACTGGCGGAATCGACAACGTCCGAAAGACCTCCAAGAGCGCGAACACCCCTAGAGCGGCCCCACACGCGAGGTACATGAGGTCAGGATCTAGTATTACTCCGGGCAAAAACACCGACACAACCGCCGCGTGGAAAGCCTTGCGCACCACAGTGGAACTTTCGCTGTAGTTCGAGGTGTACCAGTACACAAACAGTCCGGCTATTACTAACAGGACGGCCCACGAGACCATAAGACAGAGTCTCGTGTAATTGCTGAAGCAGTGGTATGCGAGCCAGCTCACTGGCTCTGCATTCACCATGACGCAGCACAGGGGATATACGAGCAAAATTGCCGCGGCACAAAGACTCGCGTAAAACCACGTCGCTCTTCGCAGTGCTTGAATTTTGGTCACAGCCATCACAAACACGGCTAGACTGAAGAGTCCCGCTTGCAGAAATCCGGCTGATGCGGAACACTTGAGGTCGCAGTTGTCCCTGTACACAATTTTGCATGCCACGCTACATCCCGCGACAACGACGAAGGTGGTGATACTTTGGCAAACGAGCAGTAGCTCGCCTTGAGTAAATGATTTAGGCGAGTAAGCTGGTAGGGAAGTCACCAGGTAACTGAAGGTTCCTGCAGTTGTCACAGCAGCAGTGGTACTCCAAATTAAGGAGACTCCAGTCGCAGCAACAAGCAGTGTCGCAGTCCATACAGACGAAATGCCATAAATGAAAATGTTCGCGATCCTAAAGACGACGGCGAGAGACAGTACAAGCGCCTGACTACATACCACTTCGGCGAAAGTGTAAACATCTCCGTGCTCGTAGCTGTTGCCGGCGGTAAGCAACGCAAAAGGCAGGAGAAGGCTCAGCCACAGTCCACTGTCGGCATGCGGCCTCTGGTTGAAGTCTGGAGTTTGTGACTGCTGCCAGCGTAGTAGTAGGAGCAGGATAATCCAGAACAGCCACTACAGTCAAACACTGTGCGACCATGCCGAGTCGAACAGCGGTGAGAGCCACGCCGGCAGCGACGACGAAGTGCTCCAAGCGAATTCTCATTCCTTGACTTGCTTCGGTCATTTCTAGGCGTTTTCGTGGTAGGCTATCCCCTACGCTACGCACGCGACATTCATGTTCACTGATAGGCACGTCAAAGAAATCGTACGTAGCTGCTCTTGCATGGCTCTTGCTAGAAAGGCGCGCGCGAGACGGCTGAGCTGCGATAACAGCCGCCTGTGTTGCTCATTGCCATTTGAAAGCTGGAAACAAAACACAATATCAAAGTATGCGGCAGCTGTAAGTATTGTTTTATGTATTTTAAGCTTACAACCAACTTCACGGTGGAAGCAATTTTGAAGGCTAGCGAAACCAACAGGGGGGGGGGGGGGAGGAATGGGAATCCCACGTGACTATTTTACGCGCGTGCACAGAACCAACGCCTCCTGGTAGTGATTAGAATGAAGAGGAAAAAGGCACCTAATTTCTGTCTGCCTTCAGGCGACACGGCGCAGTGCCTTATAGGGGTGGGGTGAAGGAGGGATAAAAAGAATAGAAGGAAAGTAGAAGCAGAAGAAGACAGCCAACGAGAGGAAAAAGAAGGAGATAGGAAAGTGGGGATCCGGTCGAAGCAGTCCAAGGGCGGGGTGCCACAATGCGAGAGCTACACGGCGTCAGGAGACCGCGGAGGGCGAACCAGTCGGCGGGAGCTACGCTGAAGTCGGAGATCGCGAGGGCACAACCGTCCAGCTTGAAATCCTGCGAGCGAATCCCAACGCCTCCTCTATAGGAAGATACCTGCCGCATGAGCAGAAAAACAGCTGCCACACCCTTTCCCTCTTTTATTTTAAAATGTTCTCGGTCGCTAGCATCACCTGTGGCGGACGGTGCAACAACGCAACACTTTGCATAGCCTCCGAAACAGTGATGCACAGTTGCAGGTCTCGAACAACTCTCGACTGACGCGCCCCTATGGGCCGCAGATCAAAAACGCTTAGCTGGTACCGCCCGTCTAGGGTGGCTAGAATAGCCACCCTAGCCCGTCCATAGCATGGCCCGTCGCAGTGATAATAGTCTTGGTCGCGAGCGCCACGCGCGGCGCTTGCTCAAAACTGAAGGCAAGCCAACTCCGCTGGGAGCGCGAGCCATTCCCCAGGCATTGTTTAGAAGAGGCGTTGACAGAACCAACGCCTCCGAGATTTCTTATGCCTGCCGGTTGAACGCGAAACACCGGTTATCTATGGCGGCGCTGCCTACGTAGGAATAAAATTCTTTGTACTTGGCCTTTAAGATCGGCAATTTTAGCGTTTGCTAATTTCAGAGGATCCCTTGTATTAAAAAAAAGTTGCTTGCTGAATGACGGCATCACTTACGTAGGGTTAACTATAACTACGTTTATGCCTTTCTAAAACTTCTAACGTTATTTTTGTTGCATATAATCTCCAAAAACCTAAAAACTTATTTGAAGACACCCCCTACATGAGTGACGCCACCATCGTAGTTCCGACGACCGCCGCTTCCCAAGTGACCGCCGATAATCCGGCAGGCACGGGAAATCTAGGAGGCGTTGCTTGTTGTCAGCTGTTGCTTGTGCTTTTTAGTGCTCGTTTAGTGTCTAGAAAGGAATATACTGTACTCGTTGCACCGGTTCGTCTCCTCTCGTGGTTGAACCAGTTCTCTGGTTGAACCAAGACCTCCTGCATGAGCCTTTGAAACGTGGCTTGCTGCTTGTGTTTTGTATCCTTGTCGACCGCGGTACGTTCTGTGATTTTGGTGTCGCGGTGCATTCGCGCCCCTGCGAAAGTGGCAGCGATGCTTGTGACCAGTTCCCATGGAGCCCAATGCGCCGGAAAATTGTGGACAAGTCAAGGACAGCAAGCGAAAGCAGCTGTGGCGGCTTTTTACGCAGGATGAGCAACCCGCAAAACAAATCGCTCACAAGCCCCCGAGTCTCTCTGTTTTATGCGCGGCTGGGCGTTTTTGGATCCGGCTGTCAGCAACATTTTAATAGGACTCTGCAGTTGCCGTGGCAGTATCCGGCTTCACCGCTGTGCCTTGTTTTTTAATTTTTGCATGTTTTGTGCGTTTGATGACATGCTTCAAACGACACATTTTACTTGATGCGACCCGACTCTTAGCAAACGCTTAAAGCTAAACTATTCAGAATATCGAGATAAAATGGAACAAAGTAGCCGAGAACAATCTGATGGGCGATTCCAGTACATTCTGGGTGAGTTCACGTACATCTTGTCATTTCACACTTTTTTTGCCTTCTGATTGTAGACACTCAAGTTGTAAGGCCGACAAAACCTACCGCACAACACTGCCATTGTCGTTTTGTGTTTCCGCCACAGTGTCGCGTTTACCAAAGAGGAGATTGTTGAACAATGCACACATTCCATGGTTAGCATGTGCATAACATTGTACAAATATTTCGGCTTGACGCATGTGTGAACATATGAAAATGGCCGCACAACAAGTACCCCGTGTTCACGGAACACCTAATAGATGTTTCCCTTTCATCTGTCGAGTTGGTCAGTGTTCAAGATCTGTGATTGAAGCGTGATGGAATGCCATCCTGGAACCACTGATCTGTTGTTGTGTGCAGACACCCCTGAAGGCGTGACCGTGCAATTCTTATCGACAGCTTTTCTTGGTTTGTAACAGGAAGCTTCAGTGCGATGCATATCAGCTGCTTGCCAGGAGCTTTCTAGCTTTCATTTGTCCAAGATTGCGACGGAAATAGTACATAAAATGAATCTGTCTGCACCTGTTAATTTTAGGTGTAGTAATTCATGTTATGCTCAAGCAGAAACTTAAGAAGGCTGCTTAAGGTGACCACTCTCCCACTGTCAATCTGCGGGACATGCTTACGAGTGTGGAGGGGGGGTACGGGATGAGCATGTAAATGCAATCATTTATTTGCAAAATTAAGCAGTATTAATACGAGGACACGAGAAAACATGGCATTATTTTCTGGTGTCCTCGTGTTTCCTACTGTTCAATCTTGCAGCAGTTGTACCAAAACACTCCAATGTGGTGTATTTCTTAACTTCTAGTGAGAGCTCTTCCCTTGTAATATTTTGTTTTTCCTGAAATTTGGAAATATAGTATTTCATTGAAGTCTAACTAAACATCTGTCTAAACAAATTTTATTCATTGCTGTAATATGCTTCGACATGAAACAAAGTTATTCAACTTGGCATAAAATTCGGCTGATGTAAAAATGGTCATTTATAAAACAGCTTAGGTAGGTCATACACATTACTGATTAAAAATTCCAGATATTTTACAAATAAGTTGAAGCAGCATGAAAAAAACGAAGACTAGGAAGGAACACACACAACAGGTCCACCGCTAGACCTGTTGTGTGTGTTCCTCTTTCGTCTTTGTTTTTTTTTGGGGGGGGGGGGGGGCTGCCTCAAGTTATTCACGAAATGAACTAACTTGCCCAAATCTAAAAGTCATTTTGGTGGCCACCTAATTTGCTTTCTTGAAGTCATTCATTTCTTGTCAGATCTAATCCCCTCTAAAATGACTGTCTGTTTGCAGGAACTGGTACAACTCGCTGACATGTTTGCTCATAGCTTGCTTTTATCAGTATTTCGACCTTCATCAGGCCCACATGGCGTCGGCTTCGTTCTGTGCTTTAAGTTCCGTCATGAGTTGAAAGGTCGCTCCACGAACGTATCTGTCACTAGAAGGCTCAACATAACTGACAGCGCTGCAGCTATATTTTTCAAAGCAGCCTTTTGAGCAAGCTGCTTCATGTGTTGCCTGAAAATTCTTTAGATTCCAGCAACAACTACCTTTTTGATGCGTGCCGTTGCCCACGTTGGGGAGGGGGGGGGGGATGGCAGGAGGGCGCTACGCAGCTGGCACCTGAAATGTTCCAACGGCTTTCATTCGCGTGGCTTGTTGGAAGCTTGGAGCGCTTGCCGCTAACATATTCTCTGACAGGGGGGCCTAGTGCAGCTGAATTCAAGGTTTTCAATGATACTCAACAATAATAACTTGTTAAATGCGGTACATTATTGAAGATTTTCATGTTTCGTAAGGGATGTGGGACAATAGCCCCAATGCAGGACAGTCCCAATAGTCGCTCCACGTGTGGTCACCCAGTGATGGAAGTGCTGCTCCAAACTGCTCCAAAATAGAAATGCTGCTCTAAAGTGCAATATTTGCTAGTAAGTGCTCCAAACATGCTCCAAAATGGTGTCACCACACCATTTTGGAGCAGCACACCAATGAAGTTGAGCCATGGGACCACCCCGTGAGCATAAGCACATCATCCTAGGATGCTTCTCAGTGGCATAAATCCAGAAAAATCTCAAGGGTTGACACACGTCAGGCCATGGTGTCCAATTTGTATTTTGATTATGCGTTGTATTTTTATTTATACAAGAATTAAATCATGCTTTCAAATAAAAAAAAGAGCATGGGTTCAGAGCTGGAGCAATTGCATTGTTCTATTGCAGCCTATTTTTTGCACCTTTTTTCGATTTCCATAGTTAACACAGCTGAGGGGGGCATTTACCACAGGTACGCAGTAAAAGCTAGTATTTTAAAAAGTTTATTTTGCTGTACTTGACTGTTAACTCAATTATATCATTTGCTAAAGCTCAGTCTCAAGTGGGACACTTGCAAGGGGTGTCCTCCACAGCCCTGAGCACCAGAAAAGTCTCGACCCCTCACCAGATTCTCTTGATCCTCCACTCCTGCCCATGATTTAGGCCAACTATACTGCTTGTATACTAGCTGCATACTTGCATGCGGCATGTTTATTAATCTGTATAAATATTCATTAGATGTTTAGGTGATGTTTCAGACTTCAGGAGTCGCTGGGAACATGCCTCTACTCCGAAAATGCCAATAGCAACCTTAAGCTATAGCATTTTTTTTTCTGCTCCGAAGACACTTGAGGCTGCTCCAAAGCACCATTTTTTTTTGCTCCAGAATCTGGTCCAAAAAGCAAAATGTCGCTTCCGTCGCTGGGTCACCCAAATGTTGCCATGTAAGAAATACCATTATATACGGCACAAGAAATTGTAGCATTGGCCATGAATGAGTCTGTATCCCTAACGCAAGTTTGTTCTTACTGGCTATGCTTGTCCCAAATGTGTAAGTAAGTCCACTGCACCATGAAATGGAGCGGTGCTATTTCAAGGCTTGAAAGCAATGAATTATAGAGGAATTGGATGCATGAGAAACATCATGCTTAGCTTCTGAAATTTCAGGGCATAATTTTCAGGTAACTCACAGCACAATCAATAATTGTTACCTCACGACGAAGCTTTGCAGGCCATAGTCGGAAAAATATAGTTATTTCTGCTTTAAACACATGTGGACTCGGTTACATAATATATATTCCGTCTCTTATTAATATTTTCTTCTTTCTCACTCTCAACAGGATGGCTGTCAATACCTGCGAGGCACATTTTTGTCCTCTTAGGCTTTTTAGGCCTTGTGAATGTCTACACTCTGAGGGTGAGCCTTAGCGTGGCCATTGTGGCGATGGTGAAGCATCCTGCCGATGCAGCGACTCCTACAAATGGAACAAGCTTCGTCAATTACACCCAGTGCCAAACAAAGGATTATGATCGCTTAAGCACTTCTGAGGCATTAGAAGGTACTGCTAAAGGACATCTGACACCATCTTTTCTACCAATATCATGATCACGTGTGTGTATTTTCCACAATGCTTGTTTATCTTGAAAAGTATCACACTTTCCTTACAGTGAAGACTTAATTGGTGTTGCAACCCATTTCAACATAAGGATTCCTGAAACTCCTCTGTTTCTTTCTTACGGATCACTGTTCACAATTGGTTGATCTTAGCAATATATGTTCCAGCATTGCTTGAACTATCGATGACGCACGGAATTAAAAAAGAATAATTGGATGTCGAAACACATTCCTTTTCTACAGCTTTGTTTTTTCAAGTGCGGTTTACGTTTTGGTTGTAACAGCCAACAGTTTTGTAGAATGGGTTGGCTGAAAACTTGAACAAAGTCACCAGCCTAAAAAATGCTTATGATGGCTAATGGGCAACATAATCTTTAAGTTGCCGTTGCAGAATTTGCATGAAATGTGGTGGCTGCATGCTTGTATTTAATTTATTTATAATATTATGTCAAACAGCAGTTCACCCAAATTAAAAAAAAGCATGGCCAGCTTCGTGGACCTTTCTAGCAACGACCTGCCAAAGCAAATCGGTGGCTATGCGACTTAATTAAATTAACTATTGTATTATAGCCAGTTTCTCTTTTTATGCTTTACCACATGTAAAATAGAAATGTTAAAAAAACACTTTTCCATGGCTAATATCTATGCTCTTTCTTTTCTTTTAATTTTTATGTGAAAGCTTCCTAATTTGACCTGTACCTTGCTTTATGTTGGTTGTTCTTAAATTGTAGTTTATGTCGCCCCAGAGTTCCTCAAGAGAGTTCAACAGGATCTGTTTGTTCCAGGGAGGGAAATTTTTCACCAGGCATTTGTAACAACCAATCTGTACGAAGTTGTGTTCTGTAAGGCCAAACCAGAGCCATAGTACAGAGTAAATAAAACACGAGCACTAGGATTTTGGCAATTCATATCGGTGGCATCAGTCCCAGTTACGGCATGCAGCTTTGCTAGTTTGACAGATTATGAACCTTTAAATGAAGGTTTGAACATCTCGAATAAAGGCTGGTATATATAATGTTAGATATACCCCTTAAAGGGGCCCTCAAACAGTTTTTCGAATAACCGTGGAATGAATTCATTGAAAGTGCTTATTGCCTCACTATGAATGCCACAAAAATTTTAAGCATCCGTCCAGTATGAGTGGAGTTACAAATATTTGTTGCACGCTGCAATCGCATTCTCTCTTCTCTCGTCCCAACAAAAGTGCTGGAAGCTAAGTGTGGAGGAATGGCAGGTGCAAAGAAAATACGTCACGCATGCCTCGTGACAATTGATCACTTTTTTCTTTTTTTCCTTGAATGCGCGGCTTTTTCAGTGTGATTGAGCTTGCAGGAATAGGCAAGTCACGGGCTCCAGCGGCAAGCCCTGTAACGACTTAGCGTGCCATGCTCAAATCAACTAATGGCTGATAGATGGCCTTATACGAGGGATTTTCGAACTTCTTTCGTCGTTTGTCAAGAGAAGAGAAAGCAATTTTTAGCTGACTGATAATTTATTGTGAACTGCAGGCCCTGTGCTAGTGCTACAGTATTTGGCTTGAGTGTTCTAGGGAGCCTCCACGACCGATCGGCAGCATTCTCTGACCGTGCTCAAAAAGTGTTGCAGGGCCCCTTTTAAAGACTTCTGAACATCTGTATTTTTAAAAATAAATTGATATTTTCTAGGGCAACTCAATGTACTGTCATTTGTTAAACGGCAACACGGCTCATGGTCATTTTTCCGCGACAATGTGCACCTGTTAAACGGACTATTGAATGTGCCTGCATGTTGTGGGTGATAGAAAGGGCTTAAAGATTATGGGGCAATTGAGTAAAGCTTGTTGTTGGTCTAGTTGGCGCATGCTACTAAAAAATTAGGTGATGCAGAAAAAAACAAACAACTGTTTCTTGCGCTTATTCTTCTAAGTGCTTTGCGTATCTAATTTTCGTGTGGCATTTGAGACTGTTATGTGCCCCATTAATTATTAATATTATTATTGTTTTGTTAAGATGCATGTGAGCTTTCAAATGCTGTTTTCAATAGGATGTTGAGCTTAGTTATGTTAAAGAGCTGTGTATTGATTTCAGAGGCTACATTGCTTGGGTCCTCATCCTACTGTGTGAATTAGGCACCATCTTGATGGTAAAGTTGATCAGGTATTTTGGAGTATAGTGCTCAGTGCAGCATGCTCACATGTAACATTGATGATAAATGCAGTTTTTGCTCCGCAGACATCTACTGTGTTCTTAACATGTGCGATAGAATCTGCGTAGTGAGGGCAATACGAAGTTGAAAAGGCTTTCTCGTTGCTTCCCTTAACCATATGTAGTCTAAAAGCTCTCCCCATTTTACGTCCATTCCGTTCCAAAACTATAATACTCGCAGCCCAAGTACATAAGTTTACTTACTCATTTACAGATGGCGCATGTGTGGTGAGAAAAAACGTGTGCAGGAATGAAGTGTAAAAAAACTTGTTCAGGAGTGCCCAGCAACAAACTGCAAAGGACTAACATTATTCAGTAAATGCTGGCTGTGAGCTGTACAGTGAACCTTGATGTTCATGTGCACTTTACAGCAATACGTAACGGTGTTTCAAATAAATAAAGGTTGCGTCGAAAGATATGTGCAAGAGGCAGGGATTGCACTGATCATCTCTGCCTTTTACACTGTCCTGGCAGACGACAAGCATAGTGTTTACTTTTTCTTTTTTTGTTGTTGTCAACGCAGAGCAGCGGTATGGTCAAGCAGAGCGCTTTGATTGGGATGCTCGGGTGCAAGGCCTGGTGCTGGGTTCCTTTTTCTATGGCTACATATTGACAGTGCTGCCGGGAGGTGTGCTGGCAGAGCAGTTCGGGCCAAAGTGGCTCATCGGCCTCGGCGTCGTGATCACTAGCCTGCTGTCCATGGTGCTGCCAGCAGCCGCACATGCGCACTACATAATTGTGGTTGTCATCCGCGTACTTCAGGGTCTTGCGGAGGTAAGCAAACATGCACCAAACGCACATGTCACTTATTATGTACAGTCGACCCCGCATATGTCGAACTCGAAGGGTATCGTAAAATAGTTCGATATATCGATAATTCGAAATACCAAAATATGCATTATTCATTGCCTAAGTTAAAGCATTTCAGGCCTCAGAAATCGCTGCAAGCATTCGCTCTCAGTATAACGAAAGAGAAGGTGTGAACTGCAAGTTATCGCAGCTTTATTTCAGATGAAAATAGTCCCTAAGCTTGTCTTGCTTCTTGCGCGCCATCAAATTTCAGTCATCCTCAATGTCATTGAAGCTTTTCAAGTAAGCAATTTTGGCTCCTTCGACCACAACGTTGTTGATCGACACAAAACACCAATGCAAGCCTTTGTAGTGCGCAAAAGGTTGGTTGACGACGGCAGCGAAGGTGTTGGCATATCTATAACCACACCTGGTACACTTTCGCGGCACTGGAGGCCATAATTTCGGCATCGATGCAGTCAGAAACAGCTACGTCGTCATATGCACCTCCGAGATCTTGCCCGAAAACGCTGATAAGTCACAGAATTCTGTGAAGCACTGTTAGCTGTTGTCAGCGGTCATGACGCACTCAAAGTTGTCACCTGGCCTGCAAGGAAAGTTTACGAAGGTGCTTTACTTGACGTCGCTTCAAGCACCAGTCATAATTTTTGTCGCTACGTGAGGGTCAAAGTTCAGTTAAACTCCCGAATGATGATTTATCAGAAACGAGGCGAGATGTACACAAGTTCACAAGGTGCAATAAAAAACGCTGAGTTCGCACCGTCGATATGTTGGCGATATCGATGTCACTTGTGGCTTCGTAGCTGGCAGTGCTGCTTTCAGCTGGCTTGATGGGAAAATCTAGAAAAAGTGTAGCCTCCGAGACATGCATTTTAAAACCGAAAACACTGAAAATATGTCGCAAGGTTGCACATCTCGGAGGCCATGTTTTTCAGGCTCACGTGCCATAAGCACGAACAAACAAGGAAGGGAATGCAAACATTGCAACCAGATCACCGAGTCAAATTGCATTCTCATTTCGTTGTCCTCAGCAATGGGTATTTTTAAAAAAACACTACACCCACGCGTTAAGACCTGCAGATCGTGCGTAAAACATACTGGTGCACTCTCAAGCGCCGTGCAACGAACCAGATCAGTGCAATAAAATAACACCATCTTTTCGTCACTTGTCCCGTGGAAAGGGATCGGAGCTTGTTTGAACGAGGCTGAAAATTCATCGATATTTGCTAGGAAAAATGCATTTTCTGGGCTTCGGCGTAGCGCAGTGTTCAATATAGCGGATGTCCCGCTATGCGGGAGTTCGATATATAGGTGCACTGCTCCCTTACTTTTCCATGGCAAATTTAAGGAGATTTTTCAACTGTTCGATATAGCCAATAATTCGATAAATTCGAGTTTCTTATATCTGGTATCAACAGTATCATGAAGTTTCATCACAAAAATACCTAGAGGGAAATACGGTGCCATTGTCTATGCGAATTTCTTAAGGTTAGAGCGCTGGGAATGGCGGTATATGTGTCTGCGAGGCTTGTGCTGGCTGCTGTTGAGCGAGACATTGCAGCTCAACAGTAAATAAAGCTTTTCTGAAACAAAATCTTTATTAGCAGATCTCATTCACGCGTATTATATTCTAAAATAAAAGGCCACTTACGTTGATGGCGCAACCAAACGGCGAAAGAAAGAAACAGACTACATAAAAGTAGGCAGAAGAAACACTCGCTTTGTCATCTGCTTGCCAAGTTTATTTTGGTTATTTCATAAAATTGAGCATCGACACAGAAGGCTCCAGTTTTAAATAAAGCACACTTCTGTGCAATGACAAAGAAATAAATAGCTTAACACAGTGCTCTTTTTGTAAGAAATCAACCACTTCAACGTGAAGCCATATGCGTCTTCGAGGTATACAAATCCGAATCAAGTTCGAAGCTCACATATTTTGTTTTATTTATTTATTATTTATTTATTTACATATACTGCCATATAATTGAGAAACATTACAGGAGTGGGTACAGAATTTGCTTGGAAATCAGGCATAACATGAAACAAATTAGTATACAAAATGAATACTAAACTGCGTGAACTAACAAGCATATAAAAAGAAAGTTATGCAAATGCACGGGTAGCAAATCAACATTGCATCAAATAATGCTTGTTAGATGGCACAAATATACAAAAAAATTTAATAAAGATACAAAACGCGCACCAGTCATTTAGGACTCATGAATTCTTTCCGCAAATTGAGCGGGAAGTAACTGGCGAAGTGCGCCGTCTAGACCATTCCAGAGTTCGACTGTGGATGGGAAAAATGACTATTTAAATTTACTTAAATGTGGGCAGAAAGGGACTCCTTAGAGTTGATAGCTCTTAAATGTGGGCAGAAAGGGACTCCTTAGAGTTGATAGCTTTGCGTAGCTCGAGTAGGACGCTTCAAAAATGACACTGGGGCCGTGATTACCGATGATTGTACAATTTTATGTAAAGTGACAAGTCGTTCGAACATGCGTCGGTGTGCTACTGTTTCAAGTGAGTGTGTTTCATATCCTGGCATTCCCTTGCATCCAGCAGCTCACTAGGGCCAGATTTCCCTCTAGGTAATATCGTGAGAAACTCTATGGACTGTGTCACCAGCTTCTGTGACATCAGGCAACATTCTTTGGAAAGTGTATTTCTGCTATTGTTGAGGGAAAAAAAAAGAATATTTGCGGGCATAAACAAAGGTGAAACCTCACGTTCTTGAAGATCACTTCCACTGCACAGTATCAATTACATCAGGTAATGTCTGGGAATCAGATTATGGAAAGTTCAATATTTAAGGCAGTAGAAATTTCTAGAAGTTTCTTTATAAGTGTTTAAATTGCTACCTTGGTACACATTGTAATCATTATTAGTGGAATATTAAGTTTAGCACAGAGCACTTACCTTTGATAAGCTTAATGGTACTAAGTGCCTCCTTCCTTGCTTAGCTTGAAAAACAGGAAGAATATTTTTTTTCTCTGATAGGCAAGTATTTACTGGTAAAATTTATTACAGTTGGTTCTAAGGAGAGCAGAAAGAAAACACAATAAGTTTTGGAAAAGACCATCCAAACGTCACCGCCAAAATGGGAAAGAAGACATTCGAATTCGCGACGTCACCCTCACCTTCCAATGCTGTAGGCGTGGTGCGATGCTCAAAATGTGAAACTTCGTCCTTCCTTTGGTCCTTCAATAACGAACAGGTGATGAAGTATAATGACTATAGGATTATGTAATAATAATTTATTATTCTGAATTGATTCAGTGTTTCATTCTTGTGTGCCTATAAAATTTCACCTTAATATTAAGGAGTGCTCCACTCAGCAGGCAGGCTAATTTCTGAGTGAATATAGGTAGTACAATCTTGAGGCAAGACTGTGTTTCAGAGGTTGATGTGGGCTTGATGTGTAAACAAGCAAGCTTCTCTTTGTCAATAACTGTCACAGGCAAGTTCCTTTGTAAAAATGTTGGCTTCAGGCTTGGAAAATTTGTTGTTCAACCAATGTTGATCGAATAAATGGCTGGCCATCTAGATACGGTATGTTCTAGGGGCTACTAATGGCTAGTGGTGTGTATGATATGTCATGTAATGGAGAGACAACGTGCAGGCAGTAAAATATCGGACAGGTTTGCTAAGGAAGAATAAGTTATGGCCCAGCTGTGATTAATAAAAAGGTAGCTAGGATGCAAGACTGTGGGATGTCGGGACTTTGTGCGATGGATCCGTGCTGTCACATTTCAGGGGCTTGTATTTCCTGCAATGCACACCATGATTTCGTTGTGGACTCCAATCACATCTCGGAGCCGTGCTGTCTCAATCATCCAATCTGGCTCCGACGTTGGTGCTGTGGTTGCCATGATGGCGTCCGGCGTTTTAGCTGAATCAACATTTCTCGGTGGATGGCCTTCCATTTTTTATGTATTTGGTGAGTATGCTGTCAAAGTGGACATTTATAAGTGTTGGGTACACATTACGTGCCCCATGCGAAGGGTTACTCGTCATGGTATTTCTTGGTTTATTTTGATATTTCATTTTTGGTTGAAGAGACACAATTACGTGTCATTCAAACAATTTGTTTTGTCTATGGGTCTCATCGCCCAATAGACGTTCGTCAGAATTGTGGGTTCTGCTTATGAAAAGCCGTTTCGGCCTTCTTTTTTTGCCGAATTGCTAGTCACTTTCTTGGGTTTATTTGTGTTTTTTCAGCGAGTATAGTTATCTTATTGATCATCTGTTCACCCACTGGCACATTCGCCATTCAGTAATAGTGAGTGTGTCGATGACTGAGTAGTCGAGTGTTGAAGTAAAGAATACAGCAGAAAAATCAACAACTAACGTTAAGCATGTGCTGGCAAATGTGCATTCAACTGCATGGAGACAATTCTGGAGACAATTTTAAAAAGTAAATATGTGCTTTCGTTCATAGTTGTGCATGTTTTTGCTGTACAAAGTAACTAAAGCGATTTTTTCAACTCCCCTTTTGTGTTTGAGTAACACTTTATTTAATATAATTAAAAATATTTTTAAGCATGAGAAATTCATTATAATTCAACTTTTTCTGGGACTTCTTCGTGAAAGTCGCTCCGCTTTTCTTTCTTCTTTTTTTAATGATTATTCACTTGTTAGCTTGGTTAAATCTGGTAACTCTGATATACGTAAAGTTTGTGGTATTCTGTAGAGCATAGACAGCGTCCGCATGGGCGTGAGCTTGTTATTTATCTAGTACATGGCTAAACTCGGCTCGGCTGGCAGTCATTAAAATTTGCTCCTGCAAGGGTCAGCATACCAGGTGGTAGGAGGCGGGCAAAAGAAAGGTACAGTTGAATCCCGCTACAACGAAATTGACGGGGCGGGCACAAAATTTCGTTATCGCGGAAATTCGTTGTCGCGATATGATGAAATACATACGTGACACGGGACTTGCTCAAGCAAAAGAACAAGCTTTAATGCCAAAAATCGCTCAACTTCGCCTGTTTCCGCTTCTTGCCAAGCGATGGCACAACACGACTTTCGCACGCTGCCAGTAGAGCCATTGCTTCATCGTCGTCCTGCGACCCGATGCAACGCTTGATGATATCGAATGCGTCCAGCACCTGTGAAGTCGGTGGTAGTGCGGGATCACGTTGCGCGACTGTGTCATCATCGTCCGACGAAACACCATCTTCCTGGACGCTCTTTATGATGTCTGCGTCCGTCATTTCCTTGCGCACCACCAAGTAAGAGTCGGCTTGCAAGAACTCGCTGATATGTACGTCGGCGGGCACATCACTTTCCTGCAGGTCTGCCCAAGCGATTGGGATTTCTTCGTCCTGGTCCAGCAACCTGTCCTCATCGCGGTCTGCGTCGCCATCGTAAGCTTCAATCGCAGAATCGGAAGTCTCGGCGCACTGTACTGCGAATCCGGCATGGCGAAAGCAGTTCGCGACTACGGCGCTCCCCGTCTCGCACCACGGAGCAGCGATCATTTGGAGCGCCATGAACAAGTCGATTTTCGTTTCGCGACCCAACCGAGTGTTCAAAATCAGCCTTTGGATAAGGCGCTTGCGGTACGCGCACTTGACGCTTTGGATGACTCCTTGGTCGAGGGGTTGAATTATGGACGTGCAGTTCGGTGGCGAAAACTTGAGCTGCACGTTCTCGAGCTCCGTGTCCTCAATGGAATGTGCGGAACAATTGTCTAAAAGCAGACAAACCTTGCGGCCTTGCCTGCCCATGTCCCGGTCGAATTCCTCGACCCACTCTCCAAAAATTGCACGGGTCATCCACGCCCGGCTGTTGGCCACGTACTTCACTGGAAGGCGCCGATTTCCTTTGAAGCAGCGCGGTTTTGCGCTTTTGCCAATGACCAAAAGCGGTCGCTTATCTGATCCGTCCATACTGACGCACAGTAGCACGGTGATCCTTTTCTTGCTGTGTTTACCTCCTTGACAGCGCAGCCCCTTAAAATCAAGGGTCTTGTTCGGTAACATTTCGTAGAATAGACCGGTCTCATCGGCATTGTATATGTCCAATGATGCGTAGTCCTTAAGGATGCTTCCAAGGCTGGCCGACATCCACGCGGCGGCGCCGTCTTTATCCGCCGAAGCGGCTTCACCACACAACACTTTGCCGATGATGCTGGGGCGGGATTTAAATCTGTTTAGCCAACCTACGCTGGCCTTGAAATCATCAATGCCGAGCATGCAGGTAAAATCTAGCGCCTTCTGCCGTACAATATCGCCGCTAAGGGCAATTTTTTTGGCCCGCGCCTCCACGAACCAGGTGTAAACAGCCTTGTCTAAGGCTTCGTGCACTGGCTGGGTCACCTTCTTATGCTTAGCGGACGTCCCTGAAGCTAGAGCTTTGCCTATCGCGTCCTTGCTCTTGAATATAGTTGACAGAGAACTCGCCGCAATCCCGAACTCTTCAGCGATGAGTGCCTTCTTCTTTCCAGCTTCAGCCTGCGCGATGATGCGAGCCTTGTCTTCGAGCGACAAAAACTTGCGCTTTTTCGCCGGCTGCGCCATCGTTGATCGCGTTACTGCACCTTCGGGAAACAATCAAACAATAACCAAAGTGTGTGATCGCTCGTTGTGAAGAAGCTAGCCCTAGTCAAGCCGCCGGAAGCGGAAGCCGTCGTGATGATGATGATGATGATTAAAGGCCTCCTCTTTGAATCGGGGTGACGGCATGCGCCATCTAGCCTACCTAAATAGTTCGAGTTTAAATTTTGTCCCTCAACTCAGATGTCTTTTTAATTTTGCCCAGCCGCTACTCTTGGCTGGGATGTTATTTTATCGACTTCTCTGCTTTTCCTCCACCAATACTCCAGCCGCTGCTTAGTAATACCTACTGCTGACTAGTTAATGCTTCCATCAACCGCGAAGCCCAGCGCCTCAGGAAGTGTGACCTTCCCCCCATTTCTATCCGGCTGAATCTTTTGGCATTCCATGACTATGTGGTCGATTGTTTCTTTATTTATGCCACATCCAACACATGTCTCATCCTGTGACGAATAGTTGCTCCTGTAAGTTAGAGTTCGCAAGCAGCCAGCCCGCGCCTCAAAGAGCAACGCACTACCTTTATTGTTGTCAAAAAAGTTCTCTTTCCGGATCTCTTGTTTGCCTGCCTTGTAGATTCCCAGCGATCCCTTCTTTTCCATCCTCTCTTTCCACATGAACGCATCGAACGCATCGTCGCACTCTACCGGAATTTGCCTCGCATCTCCAATTTCGTACGTACGTACGTACGTACGTACGCACTCTACCGGGATTTGCCTCGCATCTCCAATTTTGTACGTACGTACGTACACATAAATTGGAAATTCCTGACATTGAAACCATTCTCACAAACGTTATAAAAATGATTAAAAATACTATAAAAATCAAATTAATGCGTGTTGTTTGTACACAGACACGATTCAAAACGTTTCCGACGTTTCTTCTGAATCTACATGAGAGCGCGTTGCATTGATTGCATCGCCATCACTATCGCGGTATGTATGGCGGCTTTGTGTTGTTTACATTGCGCAGCGAGTCACCGTCGCACCCAGTATGCACGCTCTGAGCAACATCTTGTGTGTGTGTGTTTTTTTTAAATGTTATTAAGGTCCATGGTTTGTCAAGGCATTAAAACACTTTTGAGAATTTTAATAAGCTGTAATTTGAATAATTTTGCTCGTGCCTGTCCGGCAAAAAACTTCGTTGAAGTGGAAATGCTGCCGTGAAGTAGTTCGTATTGGAGGGAATTTCGAAGCATTATACCCTATGGGACATCGACGGGGACTGGAAAAACCTTCGTTGTGGCGGAAATTTCGTTGAAGCGGACTTCGTTGTGCCGGGATTCGACTGTATAAAAAGTTGACCAACTTGAATAGCCTGTCGTATACATCATATACTGGTCATTTTTAAATTCAGTGTCGGGAAGCGGCAGGTTTACAGCAGCATATAAATGCCGTTCTCCGAAAAGACTAAAATATAAAAGCAGATTCTAAGTTTTGTTTCATGGTAACGTATCAACACGTGGCAACCACAAGGGCTGCCTCATGAAAAAAAAAAAAATGCTTAAAAGTCAGTCATGACTGTGTAGCTAACGAAGATACTCATAAAAAATAAAAATATATGGGACGAGGAGGGTCACATGCGAGCCGTGGGCTGCAAGCAATGTCAGCAGCCGTGTGTTTGAGAACTCCTACTCTAGCTCATGCTGGAGGTAGGAGCCAGACTGATGTGCGAAGAGTCAGTCTTTTTGGGCCGACAGGTAATTGGAAACTCGCTAAACTTTCTTCATTATGTGAGCATGTGCACTTTTGATTTATCCACCCTAGAGAGGTATTGTTCTTGCACCTTGGTCATAAGGTGTACAGTACTCTTTCAGTAAGTCAAACTCTCTTAACTGAAATTGCTGCCTAATTGGAACACCTGTCTCTAACACGGCTGGTTTTCGTACTTGAATGTTGCACTCTTGTTCGTCTCTCGGTAAATTAAACCCCTGTCCAACGAAACAAATTTTCTCGGTTCCTTCAGCTTTTGTTTAACAGGAGTCTGTTTAGAAGTTATTAAGAATGGCAAGCATTTATGGAGAAGGTAATTTGGCATATGGCTGCTTTAAAATGGCCTGTGCACGTTTCACGTACGCCATGCTGTTTGTCCTCAGGTGTTGCAGGTATCATCTGGTTCATAGCCTGGTGTTTGCTGGCATTTGACACGCCCAGCCAGCACCCCAGAATCTCAAACGGAGAATTGGAGTTCATTATTGTGAACCAGGGAAACGAACAGGCACAACTGGTTGGTAGCTTTTTTTATTCACAGTGCCTTCACGTCCCTTCTACCTCGTTGAGTGATGAGATCACTTGCAGAGAGCACGGCTCTCGTTAGAACTGAAAAAAAAAAATTGTGTCTTCACGATGTTACTGAGAACAGCACCCCTAGAATGAAAAAAACAAACAAAGAAAAGTTACAGATTGTTAGATGTGTTAATGTAGCAATTTTAGAGAAATATTCATCGAATCGAGCTCATATCGAGTCATGGAGACTAACTGCAAGTAAGGGAAGTTTGATGCAAAAGTAATAGTTCCAGACCACGAGGAGTAGAGCAGTGTTGTGCAAAATAATTATGTGAGTGGAGTAATCACAGGAAACTAAAAATGATTGACAATTTTCGAGCAAAAACAAGGAAGAAAATAAGAAGATTTGGAACCATTGCTATTTCAGTATCAGTTTATACATGTCAATTATTGGTGATAATATATATATATATATATATATATATATATATATATATATATATATATATATATATATATTATATATATACACACAGACACACAAAGGAGCTTGTGTAGTAAGAAACTGAAATGGTACCTGCTGTGTGTGGCGACAAGAATTATGATAAACAGTGATGGCAACATGCGAACTTAAGAATAATAAAATCAGTTTGTGGGCATTGCATAAACAAATAGAACAACAACATATAGATGCATAAACAACCGAAAGGCATGAGATTGTGGAAGGTGATATAAAGCAGAGTGAAAACGACGTTGAGAATTGCTGCTTCCAGCAGCAGCGCTCTCAACATGCTAGCCACACTTGCCCATATGTCATATCCACCTCTGCTTAGCTTCAACACCAGTAAATAGCTTCAATATTTACTGACCCCGCAGCTTTGCAAAGATCGCTTTGGTAGCACATAACGGGTATTTAAAACCATAGGTAAACTGAGATCATATTGCTGTTAGCATATTAAGGTAAACCACTTTGCTTCTTTTTAAACGTTCGCAGCTAAAGTTGTTGTAGAGGACAAAGATTTCTAGTTGGTCATTGCGCCTTTTTTCTGGCGACCGTGGCCTGAATTGTGCCTCTGCTTGCTCTTGGGCACTGCAGTATTTCATCTTTTTTCTCGCTTTTGATTGTGACAGAAGCGAAAGGTTCCATGGCTCAAGGTACTGCTGTCCATCCCTGTCTGGTCTAGTGTTCTCTCTCACTTCGGCTTCAACTGGATTCACTACATTTTTCTCTCCGAAATGCCCACGTACCTGACTTCTGTGCTGCATTACAGCCTCGGAGCTGTGAGTTGTCCTCTCTAATAAATATCAGTTTTGACAGTTTGTTGTCTTGCCTATGTGTTATGCTTGTGTACGTGAGCAAAAAAAAAAAATCGGACTGTATTGTCCTAGTTTTAACGATTCTTGTTGATCCATCGATCGTACAGGGGAGTGAAAATTTACCAATGGTGTTTGGTATTTACTTATTTATAAAAAATATATGCTTAAATACTTTACTTTGGATGTTACATAGCAGAAGAGGCGTCATAAAAAATAATAACGCATTCAATTCAATTTCAATTTATTTACCAGAAAAACAATCTGGAGTGACACCTGAGTAAAAAGCTGCCACAGCAGCTTGACGAAGACCCAGGGTCCCTTACATGGCAATAGCACTTATATGACACGTCACAGCATTCACATCGGAAGAATTTTATATACAGGTTAGCGTACATCACACATTCGCATATAATGTAACAATGACACTTCGTACAAGAATGCAATGTAATGCGTTATTTTTACGTGAGTGTATTCTTACGCAATGTATTATGTTATAAAAACAAGCAGAAGGTATTAATGGCTTATTACTGGCGTAAAGAAATTGCGAGTGCCGGCAACCGAAACAAATACAAATACCTATAAGCGCTATGTTAAGCGTAACGTCAGTACCTGTCGTAGAGATAGGAGTCATTACCGGCAGCAAGCATTGCTTAAGAGCCCACGAAAGTTATAGTTGTGTCATTGTTATATGATTAGTTGTACAAAGCACTCATTAATATGCAGAGTTCACTGGTGATAGTGATGACATGCTAGTGCTGCCTCTAATTGAAGTGACGTTACATGTAAATCTAAGCTGTATCTAGTTCATTTTACAAAATTACATTTGTCTGCATACATATGTACTTACGTGCGTACGGGGAACGATGGGGTCGTTGATGTTGGTATGTCTCGTAAAGGGAAACAGGCACAGTCTGAACCTGACATGCTTCCATCCACGCGCTTACCAATTTAAATCCAGCTTCTTTCCGCACACTATAGAAAAATTCGAATATATTGCCTATATGATCTGAATCATTGCTTTTAAAAGATTTCTTGAATGAATGTATTGATTCGCACTTTGCTTATATTAGGAGTTTTATTCTTGTTTGTTTGTCTTTTTTTCCTCTCTTACTCGTATTGCATCGCCTTTCTGTTTCTGCTCTGACGTAGAGAAAAGCATTCCTGCAATTGCCCGAATAGGGCTGCAGTATGTAGAAATAAATAAGTAAATAAATAAATAAATAAATACCAGGAACAGCAATTATTTCTGGGTGAGCAGGGCTACTAATCTTCTACACATGGTGTACCAAGATGGAAATGTGCCTTTGTGTAATGGCTTGGAATATTTAGTTGAAGAAAACAATGTGAGGGGGGGGGGGGGGGGGGTTTGGGGAAATAAAGCAAAGGGAATTGGGGCTGATGACTTGTGCCGGTATGCAAAAATGTGTGTGAGGCTAAGTTAGTGAAGCTGATTTTGAAAGAAATGCACATGGAAAGCATCAAACTAGAGAGCTTTAATGATACAAAAAAAATGAAAAGCAGTAAAATAAGTAAATTTTACATCAACAATTGTGTCTTTGATGTAGCAAATCTATTCGACAGCTCTCTTTGGAACAATTATTCCTGATGGTTCTAGTGCATGTGACTTATGGATGGAATATGGCTCCCTCTATATTATGTTTTGATGAACGAAAATTTACCTTGCAGTATGTAAAATTACGTTAGTCAAATTTGGGACCTGGCATGTTAAAGTGTTTTGCCGTGGCTTGGCTGCATCTGTGTGATAGCCCTTTAATTTAAAATCCATTCTTTGCCATGTTTCACCAAGGCATTGCTTTTTGTGTGTTTGAACATTGTAGAATGGAAATGTTTTAAGCAGTGCACATAAAGTTGGGTTTGATTTCATGGACCTGATTGCCTGCTGTACCTTTAACTGTAATCTCACGCGGATGGTGTTTTCAGGTCTTGTGCCTAAAATTTAAACTACTTTGATGATATACATAGGCTACCTAGGCTTTAATCTTTGGGCTGGCTAAGATGTTTTCCGGCTTTCATTAGTGGCAATACAGAAACCTTGGTACTAAATAGATAGGTTTTCTAAAGTGTTTATCAGTTGATAGTGTTGTATAGCATATTTGTGGGGTACCATTTATGCTTGGGAGAACCTTGATGCTAGCAGCCATTTGTGCTGTGCATTATGCTCTTTTCTAGCTAATGCCGTCTTCTGTTCTGATTTACGTGCATTTCTGTTGGCCGTGCGACAGGTTTCGCTCGGTCAATTTCCTTTGTTTAAAGCACCTTTGGAAGAATTCAGTAGATATGTGCACAGTGGAAGCACTGTGAAGGAATACAACTGCTACCATGACCAAAACAATTCACTTATTGACACGTTGACATTTTCTCTGTTCATCGACTTTGGTCACTTCGACTAGCTCGGTCACAAAAGTCGATGCTCTAGAATGCATGTGTGAGACATTGCACTGATGTTGGCAACCAGTGCAGCAATCGTGAATTAGAGCGGAGTGGAGCCAGCTTCGTGAGTAATATATGGATGTACCAAAGCATGTGCCCACAGAGAAACACTTTGGAATGCAGCTGTCTTGTTATCTTAATTTATAAAAATGTGCACTCTTCTCTCACAGAATGGATTTCTTTCTGCTGTCCCATACATCCTTGGTGCCTTCCTGTGCTGCATTGCTAGCCTGGCGTCCGACCTCATTAGAAAACGTGGCAGCATGTCCATCTCGAACAACAGAAAGCTTTTCAACACCTTAGGTGCGTGTATTTTAGCCTGGCAGCTGCAAACATTTATCTCCTCATGACAACCTGAGGAATGAGAAAAACACCATCTGCGTTAAGCAAATGAATCGCTGCTCGATGGCAGATTTGAATTCTCCAAGTCAGTACAGTTGTTAACAAGCGCAGGCTTTGTCATTATTCTTAGACCTCGTAGTCCCTGCTTGTCTACACGAAGAGAATAATGAGTGCTCATTTCTTTGTTTAACACAACTTTAGTGATAGCCAGCAGATAATGAAGCCAAGGGACACGTAGGGGATGTTAATTGTGCTGTAGTAATTGTGGTACTGGCATGAATAAATTAATGTCAACGAAAAGATAACTTGCCACCGGCAAGAACCAAACCTGCATTATCATTCTGATTCCATGCGTGTTGAGATAGAACAGTTGCTTCACTCTTTTTACTCCATTAAATGATTACCTAATTAAGGATTGATTACTCATGCTAACAATCGCACAATCAAATAATAGGGGCGTGTAACATGAGCCTGTACATATTTATGCTGTTCGAGTGTAAAGGTCGTATAGGAGCGCTGCTTCAATTTGGTGGCACCTAGCTCAGCTTTGTTGACATGTTTTCTGAGCCATGATCTCAATTTTTCTGAGCTCTGAATCTGCCGCACTTTCCACGTATTTGCGCAAATAAAAGCATGTGTGTGAAATGCAGCTGTGGAGGGATTCACAGTGTGCGCTTTGTTTATTTGGTATTATCATTTTTGTTCATCGTTCATTAGCTGTGCTGCTCTGACGACTCTCCGACTGCAGGTGGGATGGTTCCCGGCCTCTTTTTGCTGCTGGTGCCCTTGGCTGGCTGCAATGGTTTTTGGAACATGGTGCTGCTTGCTGTGGCAGGTGGCTTTCATGGAATGGGACACAGCTGGTTTTATGGCTGCTTTTGTTGACCTTGCGCCAGACTTCGCAGGTTGGCATTGAGTTTTAGCATGTTTAAATTACAACTTAATGGTGCTCCCATTTGCAGCATTTGAGTTTCTGTAAATGTACAGTGGAACTTCGATTATACGTACCCCTGTTTTGTGACGATCCGCATTTTATGATGAATAAGTTTGGTCCCAGCAAGAACCCTATAGAAGTACCTAATGTGTTAAAAACCTTGGTTATACTGTGCAGTTTTATGGCGACCCTGCATCTTACGACGATTCAGATTCCGCCCGAAAGAAAAATTCACATTTACTCAAATCAAATGTTGACCACACATTCACGAGTGCAAAATGTAAACTTGCTTTCTCCTAGGTGGACGACTAGAAAGGTAGGGAGTGAGACAGGATTTCTTCTTAGAATGGAAAATTTACTGTCCTGGAAGTTCGTGCGCTTCTACTTATGTCTTGATCACTCGCATACGTATCCAGCGTCGTTACCTATATAGTCCAGCTTTATCTACACAGAGTAGCTTCAGCTGACTTAAAAGCTGATATTTTAACTTTTTCGATCCGTGCAAACTTTTCCTGGCTGACATACAGCAGATCTCCTGCCTTTTTCGCACAGGCTTGCGCATGCTAAAGGGGGTGACGCAGCTGTTTTCACCGTGCAAAATTACTCTCACGAGACATTAACGTTCATAGTAACAGCGGGACATCACTAGTTGCACTCACAAGCCATCAAATTACAACGCGCACAGCTCAGTCGCGCACAAAGGCATTCTATACAAACTCGTGGTTCATCGCCATTATGTGACAGTAATGACAGTGTGTCTGACTCTTGTAACAGGAAGCTGTTGCCAACGCGGCTTTGGTTTCGTTTTAACATTCACGTTTTTAACATTCAAGTTTTTTAACATTCAAGTTTTAACATTCAAAATTAAAGTTCATTATTGCTACTTGGGCGCCCCCCACCCCTCACGTTGTTTCATGCTCGTTCAAAACGGGTGGTTTACTTTCTGTTTCAGCATACGATGACAGTTTCTAACACGCGGGAGATTGTATCTTTTGCACTTTCCAGGTAATAGGGATGGGCCAACTAATTTGATCTCTGCTTCATCAGCGCTCGTGCGCTTTTACTTACGATGTGCGGCCATGTTATCAATTTGGATTTGTTACGGAACATGGCGAGAACGGCAAAAACCCGCCGATAGTGTCCATATAACTGTTATCACCATAATATCGCAGTTTTTTACTGTAAAATAAGTGTTTTAGATTAGCTCTGCCTTCAGTCCCCCTTGTGCCTAATTTGCGCGTTTATTTCTCGAATTTTCGTACCGAAACCTCCATATAACCAAATCCTTTTTATAACGAATTTTCCCAGAAATCTATCAATTTCGTTATATTCAGGTTTAACAGTACTGCCATTAGCTGCCACTGGCAAGAATAATTAAATCTACCTTTCTTGCAGAAGCACAAGTCGTACCTTGGGCTAATTCAGGTGGTGTGTACTCATTTTTTTTAGCAAGGCCCAGTGTCACTGCCTATAATCTTAGTTTTTCGATTATACGGTGCCAAAATTATAGGTAGTTTTGCGTGGTCCCTTGAAAGTCGTATAATTGGTATTCGTATAATTGAAAGTCGTATAATTGGTAGTATGTTTAACCTTCTTTGCTCTGTCTGTGTGTGGTTGTGCTGCCGCTCCATCATGAAGTACAAACAACTTGCTCAAGTTTCAGTCTTGTAACGGTTAGAATCTTTTGTTATTTTCATTATATTAGCCGTGCCGTGCGGACCTTCTGTAGATTTTCCGTAGAGGAACACGCTTGTCCTTTTTTTGGCCTGGACTTGCATAGCAACAACTAAATGTCGCTCTCAGTCGCAGTAGACAGCAACTATCACATTGTCACACGTTCACTAAGACATTTGTCATATACCCCACCAGGCCATTGTGGGTTTCAACATGGCCTTGCCATATCTTGTAATCGGAGCAGTATTGTGCCTGAAAACACACTCCCTGCTACAAGGTTAAGTGGGCTTGTCTGATCTAGACCAGAACTTTCTTAAACAGTTTTGTTCTAGTACAGATGTTGCTGCTGGGGAAAACAGATGTTGGGGAAACATTCTCGTTCACATTGCAAGCAGTGCTGAAGGAACACGAATTAAAGAATGCGTGAAGATGAGAACGGCCCGAATGAACTTTTTTGCGAGAACTACAATAGTGCTCACATGTGTGAAAGCTTGTGGTGGAGAACCTGGCCAGCTTCTGCCAAAAAGGGAGTTGATTTATTATTGAAGTGCTTACGACTATATCAGCCACTACTAGGTCATCAGGCAAATTCTGCTGTTGTCTATCCCACCAATATCTTCTTTGCCTTTAACCATTGAGCCCAAAGTGATGCCCGTTTGAGAACAGCCTGAATGTCCAGGTCAACTACAGTTAAACCTGCTTATAACGAACCCCCGTATAATGAATTCCTCGATATAATGAATTTTTTCTATTCTCCGCCGTTGCTCCATAGAAGCACATTTTTTTCGCCCTCTATGTAACAATGTAACAGCACGAGACAACCTTGACATTACGAATTTTCTTCACGGACAATCTGGGAATTTTGCTCAGCATTTTGGTACGAGCATGCATCTTCCCCAACTGCCCCGCCGAAGACGTGCGCGAAGTGGCAGCGGCGCGCACGGCACACCAGTCAAGAGCGAGCACTCGTTCCTGCATGTGTGTGAGCGCGAGGCGGACAGGGGGCCTGCACCCCACGAGCCGGCGTTGCCACCATTCTCGCCACCGCGGGTGCGTTTTCGGGTGTGCCCCCCCCACTCCAAACCAAAATAAAAAAAAGTACTTTGGCGTGTTGGCCATGCCACGCTTTCCTATAAAAACATGCCGTGCGCACGTGCATCGTTTCACTGCGCGCGCATAATGTGGCCCCCGACTACCTTCAGCTTTGCTTCATGTACCAACACGTGCTTATCTTCCACGCATACGTTGCCCCACCAATGGAGGGGGAGAGGGGTAGGTGCTAGTGCATGCACGCTTATCCTTCGCTGGGGAGAATCGCGCGCCTTCGACTTTGACCGGAACGATTGCGTTTAGTTTCCGGGCGCTCGAAGACCACTTCGCTCACTGGACAGACTCCGTTTGTGAAAAAAGTGCGCTTTTCAAGCACAGCGAAGTAACAACTAGGGAAAGGTTGTTAGTTCGCTCTCGTCCTGTGTATGTGTTGTTTTCGTTCATCATTTGTGCGTGAGCATTGCGCTGCACATTTTGATCTGCTTGCTGTTCTCAGCGTTACATTCCAAGTTGTTGCTATCGCATTTATTGCTTTGCCCTTGCGGCGAAACTGTGACTTTTTTTAATCCGGACAACCGTGGTGAAACTGTGACTTTTCTTTATTCTGGACAACCGTGTCATCACCACCAAGGGTATGTCGGATTAGGCGCTGATGGAAACTCTCAGAGACCACGGTGACGACGGATGTTCGGAGGCAGAGTCGTCATGCGCTGCCGTCTTGTGCCACGAGTTCCTAAGCTGGTAAATTTGCAATTAGCCAATTAGTTCTGCCAACACGACGGCGTGTTGAATGCAATGCAATGATTGCGATAGCAAAAAAAAAAATTTAATGTAAGGCTGGCAGCCAACTCTTTTGGATCCGATATGGCGGAACTCTTTCAAAACGCTAGTGTGAGCAAATACGGCTGCTCCAAGGAGAAGTGCGCTTTTCACACAGTCCGTTCCTTTTGAAACTGCACTGATACTCGCTGAGATAGCAAAGGTGCCAGCGATTGAGACCGCCCTTAAAATTCAAGTTCATTATTGCTACTTAAGCGATCCCCCCCCCCCCCCCCCCCTCCTCCAGCGCTGTTTCATGCTTGTTCAAGACGGGTGGTTTACTTTCTGTGTGAGCATTCGATGGCAGTTCTAACATGCGGGAGATATTATCTTATGCACTTTCCAGACAATAGGGATGGGCTGGGCCGACTCATTTGATCTCTGCTTCAGCAGTGCTCGTGCGCTTTTACCAGCTTGTGAAAGTTACGATGCGCGTAGACATGTTATCAATTTGTACCTATTACGGAACATGGCGGCGATGGCAAAAACCTCTCGAGAGGTTCCATATAATTGCTAATGCAATAATAACGCAGTTTTTTTTACCTGTAAACTAAGTGTTTTGGGTTAGATCGAGTTTCAGTCCCGCTTTTGTTTAAATTGTGTGTTTACTTTTCGAATTTTTGTACCGAACCTGCATATAACGAAATCCTCTTTATAATGAATTTTCCCGGAAGTTATCAGTTTCGTTATATCCAGGTTTAACTGTACTATGGCACTGCAATCCAAACCATGGCTTCATGGTGCTTGCGTTACCATAGGCAGCTGCATCCTGCATCGAGTTATACACTTTACCTTCACAGGGCATTAGATAGCATGGCAAAGAGAAGCCAATGCGAATGTCCATATCATTTATTTATACTGTAAAATCTGATTGCCATAATTCTGCATATTTTGTTACAGTGAAAGCTGTTAATTGATCACAACACTGTTTGCGTGCGTGCTGTAGTTCTCCGCTGCCGCCGGTGTCCGTGACCACTATGGCGAAAAATATTTAAAAAAAACTAGGTAAATAATAACAACATTAACACAATGGGATTCAAACTCGGATCCCCTGCGTGCCAGCCCAGTATTCTACCACAAAGCCACGCTGCTGCCTGGAACTCCGTCGCAAACTGTCCTGAGGCTGGCTTGATGTCGGAAAAGGAAGCTCGGCAATATGAGTAATAACGCGTTTTAGAACAGCAAAGGAACAACAAGGTGCCACACAATGCAAATTGAATATCGACTGGGTTATCGAATGCTCTAACCGATTTCAAAATCTTTAGGCGCAATGCTTGATTGTTGTCACTTCCAGCATTAAAAAAAATTTCACAAAATTTCTTCCAAGTGTGTAGTGGGTACCTTGCTTCTCCGAAGAATGATGAAGGATGGCATAGCGAATGCTTTCCTGCTACACAAAAATTGTGACTTATTGCGTAGTAGGCACCCTTGCAAGTGGGCTTGTAGCAGTTACCCAAAGAGTGCATAGAAAAGGCTCTGAAAGGCCACTCTTCCTGCTTTCCTTGTGACTGTGCAGGCCTGGCATTTTTTTTTGCCTAATTCGTTTTTCTTTCTGCTCTCGGGCAGCGTTACTTCCAGCCATCCTCTTCATTTAGCATGATTTTGGCATGGTACGTTTTACTTACCGCTTCCCTATAAAAACATATCGAGATTCCATCTGTATACTGGTAGTTGAATACGCACAAGTGATTCGCTGATTTGCTTTGCGTGGTGGCCTTCATTTGCTTGTTAACCTGACCAAGAATTGTTATTTTTGCTAGGGATCACTAATATTTAAAATACCTTTTCTTTCTTGTGTATGAAAGGATATGTGACAGTAAATACAACAAGCATTTGACATTCATGCCTGTTGCTGTTTTCCCCATTGCTTTTTTCATGACTCTTACCACATTGCTCTGTTCTTTCTCATGTGTGACATCTGCAGGCATCTTGTCTTTCTGCTGGTGCTACCCTTCAGAGACTAACCTTCCTCTGACACAGACCCTGGCTCTCTACGTCACTCTGCTCTTACCTTTGCCTCACAAGTGGCAGAGTGCTTTGAAAAGCATAGAGTGGTATACCTACACAGTAACTGTCGTAGAAACTTATTTTAAAGTTTTTTTAGAGCCTCGTTAAAAAAGAGAAAAAAGACAGATGGCTTTGCTCCCCATGCAAAGATGGTGCCACTGCGTCTATTTTCAGCAGTGACATGTATGTAGCTTTCAGTATACGTACCCTTACTGTTTTTGGACCTAGCAGCCTTATATAGGATTGTAAAGAATGAGAACTTAACATGCATTACCGTACAGAAATTATGCGGGACTGGCATTTATGGGGTTTATTAAGTCCCGACATGCCAGTCCCGCGTGATTTGGCTCATCGTCTACAAAGCGCGACGAACCAAAACATGGACTAGGTTTTAACGACATATACTTTATCCAAAACAGAATGCTACTGCATGAAATAGGCTCTGCCAAGTAGTAGTAAAGTCAGGTGTTGTGTAAGGTTATACCACTCATTCCTTTTGACGTATCTGTATGCACCTGTGCTTTACCTGTTTCCAGTACTACATACTTAAAAATGTTGTCTCCTCTTGCACTTGTGCATCTGTATCCCCTCTTGTGTATTGAGAAGCCAGTTTTTCAGGAAAACTTACTTACCTGGTGGTTGAGGTTGTCACATTTTGAAGTGAATAATTTTGAAGGGCCAGATAAAGTTGAGCAATGTAAAAATAAGAAAGTAAGAAATGCTTCTTGTCTAGGGGGGCTATTTCAACTGCAACTGAAAAAGCTTTCCCAGCGTTAGAATCAGACGAGGGAAAAAATGGTCTGAATTCGCAAAGCATGGTGACTTTAGACAATACTATGGTTTTTTGAAGGTTTCTAACGTGCCCCTCTTTATATTCACTCAAATGGGTTATGTAAAAAAAAAAAAAAAGAAGGTGAAACTTGGATAGGGCTGCAAAAGAGTGCTGTGGTCTGTTTACTATAGCGGTGAGCTCATCACATAACTCCTATAGCGACACTTGTCAGCTTTTACATTGCTTGATCATAGAACTGATTCAACAGCCTCCTTATGAACCTTGAAGGGACCCTGCAACACGTTTTAAGCATGGTCAGAAAACTCGGCCGATCGGGAGTCGTGGCTCCCGAGTACATGCGTGCCATATAGCGCAGAACGTGGCCTGGGATGCACAATAAAGTGTCAAAGTCAGCTGAAAATCGCTTTCTCTTCTCTTGACAAATGACGCTACAGGCTCAAAATCACTACATCCCAGGCTTAGTATCAGCCATTGGCTGATTTGAGCATGGTGCACTCTGTCATCACTGGGTTCATCACGATAGGCTGCAGCTTGTCCACGTGTGCTACGCGATCGCACTAAAGAGCAGCGCACTCACAGAAAGCAAAAACAAAAGGGAGAGAAAGAGAAAGGGCTCAAGGTAACGAGGTCTGCGTGATGCATTCTCTTCCCCTGTGCCATCCCTCCCTGCTTAGCTTCCAGCTCTTTCGCCGAGACGAAAGAAGAAAGAATGCTGATTACAGCGTGCGACAAATCTTTGTGACTCTGCTCGTACTGAAAGAATTCTGAAATTTTCTGCGACGGTGAATTTGTGAGGCAATAGGCTTGTTTAGGGAATCTATTCCTTGGCTATTTAGAGAAGTGTTGCAGGGCCCCTTTTACTTTTGAACTCCTCACATATCACAGAAATTGCCCATTTCTTCCAGATTGCACTAATGCTCGACCAGCAAATTGCTCAGGAACACATAAGCTAGTGAATTTCACTTGTGCGGGAATACGAAGCTGAATGATTACAAGATTGACATCTTCCATTGCAAGGAATAAGGGGTGCAAAAGAACGCGCTTTCTAATGGCTGCTTTTTTCTGGAGAGGTAAATATGCTGTTCTCGCTGCTTCAAATGCCTAGTATTTGCTTGTGGGCTTCTTGCATGCCTCTATTTTCACAGCTTTTCATCACCACTTAATCTATCTCTTGCGTGTTACTGCTATTCTGTAGATTTTGTTTGTTTTGTTATTTAATAATTGATTTGGACTATTCTATGCACTAACTGCATGACAGATAAGACGCGTGTATCTCAAAACATGTGTTTGTATGCACCAACGTAAAAAAGGTAATGGCACAAACACTTTTTTTTTTCATTATGCATAGGTTCAGCTCTCCTTAACAAAAGAGGCTCCTTAATGCTGCATTTTAGTGAGATCGCAGAAATGGCCACGTTTATGTTTCTAATGAGCATTCTAAATACTATATTGGGCATTACACCCTGTACTATGATAGTATGCATGCTCTCCATATTGGGAAGACCTTTATTAGAATGTGAGTACTTAGGAACACTGTAGCAGTGTAAGAAAATAAAACTGCTGTCTACCTCCACTAGGTACCCTTCTGGGAATATCCAATGTCATCGCCAGCATTCCAGGAATCGCCTTACCAGCCATGCTCGGTGAACTGCTCAAAGAACAGGTATACAGCCATTGTTGCACATTTTTTGGGGTGCGTAGAACTTGGTTTAATTCTTAACAGTTCTTATCAAGCAATGCTGGCATATCTTTTAACTGTGCAGTTGACTCGCGACAATTTAAACCCTGATAATTTGTGCTTTGAGTTAATTCAAACAAAGTTCAAACTCTTGATTGTGCGCACATGCGCTCGACCAAAATTTATTGGCGGAGCGCATGTGCCACTGCTTTTTTACGCCTGTTGAGAAGGCCTTCATAGTTTTGTGGCAATCCAGAGAGCATTAGGATGATGCCGGGAAGGCTCTCAGCAAAATATAGCTTGCAGTTATGCATCGTGGGACGCATTCGCTTCTTGCACGCAGACAGTGAAACCTCTTTATAACAAGCATGCTTTCGACAGCAGTTCTTGTCTTTTATATGAGATGTCTCTTATAAGCAGGGTGCCTCGTATCAATTTCATTATCAACCCATATTTTACTGTAGGCGTGCAGGTGTCCCTTATACCCATTTTTCTCTTATATCAGTGTCTCTTATAAGGAGGTTCGACTGTACTATCAGTCACACCCTTTGGTTTCACAGATTCTGGCAAAAAGTATAGTGGATCGTACTGATGTTGTTGCTCATAGCTCATTATTCATTTGTTTCTTCTGGTTTCAGAGTCCCCTTGAGGCGTGGGCTTTGTTTTACTACATAGGAAGTGCAATAGGCATCATCACAGCCCTGGAGTTTATCTTGCTTGGTTCAGCGGAACTTCAGAGCTGGGGAGTCGACAACAAGTTCAAGGTTATTGCCAAATACGGCACTTCTCAAGGTTGCCAGCTTGGAGCTGAACAGATAGAAGATGCTAACCACTTGCCTCCTGCAAGCTAGTGCTTGTAGCTGTTTTCACCGCAGGAGGTGCTTTTTTTTTAAACACTTGTTATTGTGTTATGTATGTGTGTACCACATCTACCATTAATTTGGGAAGCACGCCAGTAATGGTCATACAATAGGATGGCAATGCAGTCACCTGACATTTGAACCACTGTTTTTCATGTTAGACTTGAATTATGTGTTCTAAAGTGCCCAGTAGATGAAATGTGGTAGCGCGAACACATGGCCTTTGGTTCATTCAGAAGCTGATGTCAATTTAATAAGCTGCTAAACATTTTGACTACAATGATGTGAATATTTTGCATGCCCTAACCCTGTGTAATCGCATCCACTACATCTCAACATCAAAGATAGTGTGATGTAATGAATTATTGAACTGAATTCAAGTTAAAAGATGCATGGAGCTTGATATACATGAATACCGGTGCCGCAATGTATGTAACCACCTGTGGATAAACGAGCGACTTGAGTGGGTTTAATGCCGTCACCTTGTTGCTCTGTTGTGGTTGATCGGCTGACAGTTATCGAAGATCATTTTTATCTAAAAGTTGTTTGCCTGTTAGCGTGTTTTAGCTGACAGCTAGAATTTTTTGTATGGTGACTCATCACGACCACTGTTTGAGCTTAATTACTTGCACTACATATATTTGCATATTTGCAGCTATTGTGCAGCTTTTTAAAATTTATTTTTACGGCACAAACTGTGATATGCTTGCAGGCCAACGGGAACAAAAGGCATTATAATGTAGCTGTACCTTTATCAAGTCTCCTCTTCCATACTGGGCTGACAGCATGGAAGGGGAGACTTGATGGAATAGCATTTGTAATAGCATTTATAGGAATAGCTTTTGTAATCACATCAATTTGCTTTATGATGCATCGCATTTCTTTACCGCTGTGTGGCCGTCATTCTGCGTGACAGATATTGAGGTCTCCCCATGCGTGCTGAGCTTTCTGCTAGCAGCAGTTCTTGTTTCCTAAATTATAACTGTGGAGCTTAGGAGAGCATTAGCTTGATGAAAGTTGAGTAAGAGAGTCACCTTCGCACTGCAGTGGAAAGTGGCCTTTAATTGAAATGTGCCATATGGAGCCCCCTTCTGCTCCAAATATCGAGATGATCTCACCCTTATTTCACCTTCTCTTTTTTATTTTCAAGCTTTTCGTTCGTGGTGAGGTGAGCGAAACATTTCCATAGCTCCCATTCCGTGATGCTTTTTAAAAATGATGCCACGCTGTGATGCTAATGATGATGATAAAAAATATAAATATGAAAAAGAAGAAGTAAGAAACTGCGAGCTATTTGATCTCGCTACAGTATTCTTGATGTTGCTACATCTTTTTCTTCACTGCTGTGTCATAGACTGTGAATAATGTACAGTTTGCATATTGTCTTTCTTCATATATTCATGAACCTGCTGTGCTTCTTCCAGCCTGGTGATGTGTTTGTTTTGTTTGTGTTTAACATGAGCTCGAAGCCACTTCAGAAGCATGTGCGAGGAGTTGAATCTTACTTTGTAAGAATAGTATTTTTTCTTGTATTGTATAATGTGCTTGTTTGGTCACTCCAAGTTCCACTGGTAGAGAAGTGATACTTAATATAACTGGTGCCTTTCCCTTCTTATGACTGAAATTTGTGCAGCCTAAATAGAATGAGTAGAGACAAGGTTACTTAAACAAGCAAACGAACAAACAAAACATGTGCAATAGTTTGTTGTTTGCTTCCATGATTCTTTATAAGTAATTAAAATTGAAAAATGAAGCTCTGCATGGAATTTAGTGCAAGTCTTGTATGATGGTTGAAAAGAATTTAGATCATGAAAACAATTTAAGTAATGAAATTCTACGCAAACTACACTATGACCCGTTGTTAAATAACTGTACTGCTGTGTTGTTTACGAGCTCAATTTCTAATTCACCCTACATAATCTACACTACATATTTATATGCAGTTGTTGATAATGGTAGCACTGCCACAGCCAACATTAAACCTGTTGTAAGTCATATTTATACAAATATTCAGTTAAGTTTTTACCTCAAAGCAACATATTTGTTGCGTGTACATGCAGATGTATTATTTTTTAAAATGTATGATAAATTGAAGTGTCAAATGAAAGTTTGAGAGCCAGATGTTGAATTGTAACACATTTTAATAATGCCCACTTTTATTTGGCAGCTGTTATACTGTGTGGTATTGAAATGAGGCGGCTATATAACTTTTTTACATAATTGCTGATACTTATTGCAATAAAGTTTTGAAGAGTTGTTAAGGTGTGTTTTCAGATATTTGTGTTTCAATTGTCTAAACACTAATCGTGATTACACGTAGCAGGCTTGTGTGAGCAAACGTAAAACTTCAGATTTTGCAATTATTGCCTTTTTCACAGGCTAGATAGACAGCTTGAAATCAAAACCAGGAGTGTTCACATATGCACAAAGGTATCTAGCCGCTATGTGCACGTTACCGTACATATGCATGTATTCCAATCTGTAGTTGTGAATACACTGGTAAAATAGTTAGTATTCCCACTTTGGCTTTTTTCCATGTGAATGTCTTCAATTGAAGGCTTAATTATTCCCTTTGCTTGACCCTTAAATTCCCAAGCCTTAGTCGTACTCATTATTAGAGATTGTAATATTATTGCCGATGACTGAGTTGTACTTCTTCAGCCTGACGCATGCTCCCCTAAGTGTAAAAAAATTGCAGTTGGCAATTGAAGTTTGCTTCAGTTTTCATTTCTCAACGGTTTTTAATTCTTAAGTTCAAATTAAGAAAGTATTTTGAAAAAGAGCTCCAGTTCTCGGACAGCAGTCATGCTGAAGATTTAGATTTCAGGAAACGTGGCATTTGTCTTGGGGACGTGGTCTGACTTTGCGAGTATGAAAGGGCAATGACAATATGCTGGGTGTAGGTTGGCAAACTCGCTCGTCACTTGCCTCACCCACACTATGGTTGAGCCGAGAGTCCAAGTCTGAGTGACTAGATCTAGGTGAGCTATATCTTGGAAAACTTGAGTTTGAGTGAGTCTAATTGAGAAAATATTAATGAGTCAGACCCACCCCTGCCGAGGAAAATTTGGCGAGTTTGATTCCGAGTGAGCCCTAAGCACAAAACATATTTTTCAGGTGAGTCCGAGTGGACCCTACATTTTTTGCCGACCTATGGTCCTATCTACTTAACTTCCGTATTACTATGAGCCTCACATTGGCTCATGCTTACAGTCGCGTGTGTTGACATGTGCTTCAATCAATGCACCAGTGTTCATAAGCCAACTTGATATGTATTGATACGATGCACGAGTTGTGGCGGGAAAGAGGTGCCTCCCTCTCCTCAAAATTCTTTAACGAGAGTTCTTTGTAGAAATACTTCGTGTGAGTCAAACCTTTGAATAAAAATGTCCTTACTGAATTGAAACCACTGATGTGCCATACATGAACATAAAAGATCCAAAAGGGCCCTGTGGAGCACCAAATATGCAAGATCTTCGTGTTAAAGAGCATTGATTGCATGGCCGAGAAATCTGATCCTACATTAACACATTCAGTGAGTCAATGCACTCAGGCCCGGATTGAGTTGCAAGACTTCTTCAAAATTTAAATGTGACGAACATGCGATTTATACTTTCTAAAAAAGACGGAAGGTAGTGGTAGTTTGAATAGACATGAATTCATGCGGTAAATGTTGTTCCTTGCTTTAAACTTCACCATTCTTTTATTTGGCTTTTCCACTAGGATGTTGGCATTAGTGACAAAACAATGAGCCCACCTTCAAGCATCTGATGTGTTTTTGTGAACGTCACATTATCTTGATTCCATTTGACTACTAAATTTTTCACCAAAATTTTAGGAACTGGACAAAAAGAAATGTTTTGGCCAGTGGTTATTTTACTACTTAAAATTTTTTTTCAAGCACGGTAATGTTTACAACATTAATATCGTTAAAGGCAGTTATCCGAAATTTTTGAGTACAAATCTTTAAGGCTATAATTATGTGTACTGCAAAAATAAAACAACGTGATGATGATAGTCACATTTTTTTTATACGCATGATGACGATATGTTTTGTTGTGTAGTGCCATCTAGGTAATAAAGTGCGTACTATGGCCAGACAAGCCCAACCCCCCCTGCGGGCACCACGGCCGCCAGCGCGTTAGCCGTCGCTGTCGGATGATCGTCAGATCGTGTGAGAGCGGTTTTTGATATGCGCATACGTTGAGCGCTTTTGCAGCAGCTAGAGCGCTAACCTGACTGTTTGCCTACACCCACGAAGAATGGCCGCAAGGATAGTGTTGTGCAGGATCTGCGCTCCATTACTCGGCAGAAACCAGCATCTTGCTGCGGTACGTACATACGTGACTGTTTACTGTCCCTCTCGGGTTGCACGTTGCGAGATGCCTAGCGTGTGATAACATCTACCCGCATCTTCTTTACGCGCGCACTACTGTTGCCGCGTAGGACGAACAGAGAAAATGATAATTAAGTAAGCATTATATGCGCTCATCTCTACGACGGGTTGTGTACAGTTGTGCAAGATTCAAACGTGAGCTCGGTGTACTACGGAGCTTTTCGTTTGCATTCGTCACATTAAATAAGCGTCGGCGTTAATGGTTAGCACTACATTGAAACCATTTACATGGTTTTTTATGGTGTGTCTTAGTGCAATATTGCAACCTGGTCGAACGGTGGGAGTTCAGAAAGGGCGTGATCCTGCGCGCATGCCGCTATTGTCATGTATAAGTTTGCTTTAGCCTCGTTGTTAATATGACACTAATCTTTCCCTCTAATGCTTCCAGAGAAGTATCAGTACGACAGCCAGCAGAAATGCCCAGTTTTGCAACTCGGCCGAGGAGGCGATCAAGGAAATCAAAAGCGGTTCCAAGCTGCTCGTAGGAGGTGCGTGAAACGCCCTTGCGGCGTGTTGATGAAAAGAGAGAGGCAGATATTTATATAGGCTAGACAAACGTTGCATTTTTCCTTGTAGTAACTCGTAGTTCGTCGCATATGGGTGATTCCACCTAAGGCCGAACAAAGCATGGCTGGTCGACCTCATAAATTTCTTTCAAAATATATCTATTGTTGCCTTATCAGTGAAAAGAAGAAATCAGCAATTGGTTTTGCTGTAAAAAGTTTTTCTCGAAGCACAGCAAATCAATAATGACGATGAGGTGGTGTGCCATTCTTACCTGCTCTGCTGTTTTTTTTCCGAATTTGGGGATGAATTACACAAAATATATTAGAGCTACTTACCTCACAATTGTTTAGCTAAATATATGCCTGCATTTACGATCAATTGTTTCGATTCTCTGCGTAGTGTTCGTTTTTTTATAATAATTCCCAAATCTGACTTAAGAACGTTTTTTTTGTCTAGTTTGCAAGACTTTACTTCAAAAAGGGCCTACGACAGAGCGGTGAAAATCCCGCATTACTTTCTCGGCATGCTATTTATCAAACTGCCGAAGCATATATTAATAACACCTTTAATAAAAAGATCTAATTGCACTAACTACAAGAAACACCCCATTCTTGATATTTCTTATACTTTCCCCACTTACTCTCCTGCACATCAGCTTTCACAATAAATACGTTGCATTATATGGTTTTACTTGCAGTTACGGCCCATCAAAACATGCCATTGCACAAGGATAGGCAATTGTAGATTAGACTTCCTGCCCGCTAATATGGAATGCGAACCTCTACTTTGGTTTCTTAAAAGGCAAGGCAGCACTGAAATATCTGTCGACTGCACTGAGAACGCCAATTTCGAAATGGTTTGATCATGGGAGCGGCCATTGCGGGATTAACGAGCACGCAAGCGCGCACAGTCCAGCGTGTTCTGTAGCAAAGAGGGCTCGTTTTCGTGTCCTCAGATGGGTAAGCTGCGGTACAGCCAGGGATAACTTCCACATATGGGAATTGGAGCATAGCTACTTTATCCACCCTTTGCTTGCATAGCAGCCATGTGCTGTTAACATTGCTCACGTAGCAGACATTGTTTGCACTTTTTGTGTGTCCAAAGTAAGCGCGAACAAAAGCACGTCTACAGTACATACTTGTGTATTTAAACTGATCTTGTATATTTGTATATTGTAAACTTGTATATTTAAACTGAGGTGACGGATCTAACGTGGGTAAGGCAGGATTTCAATGCACATGCTTGAAGCGTAAACAGAGGCAATCGGCTAGAGTCACATGTTTGCTGTCTGCAGCTAAAGTTCCCCGACCGCATTCTGCGCCCGCACAAGAAACACTTCGCGTCATTGACGTGGAAGTTGAAGTTTGACTCCGTTCCCTCTGTGGTAAGCACCTGAAAACTCTTGTCAGGAAGCTGCGAGCGCTTACTTCTCGCACGCGGGTGACAGCTGCTTTATCTAGATAAACTGTGCTGCACGAATTGATTGATCTCAGTGAAAACCATAAAGGTGGTGCTCTAGAAGCCAAATCAAAAAGGAACAAATGCCAAATTATAGACAACTGGGTACGCCCGCCCATATCAGATAGCGGCAGTAGACGACTTGTACTGGTCGTGCACACAGTCTGCTGCTCACACTTCATTTGACTCCGATAGTGCTTGTGCTTTGCTCTGCTGCTGCTCATTTCATGGCGGCAAAGTATAGCTCCTAGCAAAATTGTTGTGCAGACTACCATTCAAAGCACAAGAAGCCTATTTCAAGGACACAAAATTTTTGCAGAGTTACCGACTTATACATCACAGCTTGAATCTCTAGTGCCTCAGTGAACCCCATGCATACAACACTAATTTCTCATTATTCACTACCATATTTATTACTGCTGATTTGCAGCAGCAAGACATGATTACTCAATACAACATCATGCCTGTACGCGATGACAAATTTCGTGCAATCTTCAGACCCATGTGTTGTGCTCAGTCATGTACAAAGGCCTTTTTCGACAGGCCCTCTTCACACCGGAACATGGACTGCGCGCGCTTGTTTGCTCGCTAATCCCGCACCCATGGCCGCTCCCGTGACCAAATCGTATTGAATTGGTGTCTTCAGTGCAGTCGACAGATATTTCAGTGCTGCTTGCCTTTTAAGAAACAGAAGGCCTGCATTGTATACTTAGCAGACAGGAAGTTCGATCTACCTGTTGCCTATCCTTGCGCAAGGGTACTTTTTGACGGGCCGTAACTGCAAGTGAAACCATATGATGTAACATGTTTTTATTCATTGTGGAAAACTGATGTGCAGGAGAATAAGTGGGAAAAGTATAGAACATATCAAGAATGTTTTTTTTTAGTCGTCATCATAAGCTTTCCTTGTATGCTTTTTCTTAAAGTTAGCATAATTATATCTTTTGATTAAAAAGAGGTTATAAATACAAGCTTTGGTAGTTTTATAAGTAAGCATGCTGAAACAGTAGCACAGAATTCTTACAGCTCTGTCATAGGCCCTGTTTGAAATAAAGGCCTGCAAGCTAGGCAAAAGAAAATTTTAGGTCGAATTTCAGAATTTTTATAGAAAAATCTACACTATGCAGAGATTCGAGATATAATTGAGCATAAGTGTGAGTACGTCTATATTTAGCTAAAGACATTACAGGTACATAGCTTTATTATATTCTGTATAATTCATCCCCAAATTTGAAAAAAAAAAAGCAGCAAAGCAGGTAAGCGTGGCACTCCACCTCTTCATCATTATTGATTTACTGCGCTGTGAAAAATTTTTTACAGCAAAATCAATTGCAAATCTCTTCTTTTCACTGATAAGCAACAATATATGAAATTTTGAAAGAAATATAACAGGTTCACCAGCCATGCTTTGTTCGATCTTACGTGTAATCAACCATATGTAAAACTGGAGCGAATGCCAAGCTTCAGCGTTTTTACACCATTTGCAGGGAGTGAAGAAACAGTTATTTTCTGAATTATCACAATAGTGTTGTCTTCAAAGTTTACTCCGTAACTTTTTCATTCAAAGTGCAACACAGAACATCTGACACAACTATATAGAGTGTATGCATGCAAGCCTGATTGGCTAGTACTGACACTTTGTTGATATAATCACAAGATGCTTATACCTGCAAGAGAAACTACAAGTAGAGAAACACACGGTAGAAAAAACAGTGTACAGCCTGTACATTTTGTCTCATATCGCTGGCTGTGTAAGTTTGCCCTGGGCCTATTGCCTTGGTTTTCTGCAAAAATCTACAGCAGTCACACAAGTGCCGCCTGTATCTCTTAGGATTTGGTCTCTGCGGAATCCCTGAAAACTTGATATCTGCACTCTCAAAGTCTGGTGTTAAGGACCTTGTTGTCGTCAGCAACAATGCCGGTGTGGACGGCTTTGGCCTTGGGATACTACTCAACACGCGACAGGTTTGCAAGTTTTTTTTTGCATGCTGAAATTGTGATGTCAGAAACGCTGAGTGGCTTTGTAGTAATTGTGATTGTTTAGGAATGAAGAATGATCTTAATGCCACTTACTTTTTGGTTGTCTGACCAATAAATAAAAAGCAACGAAACTCAAGGGTTTATTCATTTTCTTTCTATTTCCTATAGCGAAAGTATACCTTTCAGAATGTGCCTTTTTTAAATAATGGTAAAGAAAAACTGCGTGTGAATGGGCAGCACGAAAAAAGAAATTTGATTAGCATCGGACTAGCGTCGGCTACTTGAGCTTTCTGCGTACGGTGTTATCTGCTCCAAATACTGCTGAGTTTCTAGTGAATAAGAGTAAGCGGTCTGTCTCGTACGGCTGCACGCATTCCTGGCACAGAGCCCAAGGCATTCCTCTCAACGAGTGCTCACTGTATGGGTTAGACAGCTCAAGAAAAATATGCTGCCTGTGGCCTTCGAAACCTCAACTTGTGGAAGTTTTCAAACTCGTGCGTTTTGTGCAAATAATGTACACTGCAGCCAAAATGGCTGCAAATAGATTCAAGTGATAAACTGCTGAGACATGTATGGTTATGTGAGTTGTCGAGATGGCCAATATCAAATCATTCAAATAAAGTGTTAAGAAAGTAAAGTCAGAATGAAGAACAAAACTGCTAACAGTTTCTACCCTTAATATGGCACCACCTACCCTGCTCATGAACCCAATATTCAGTTTCTTGGTGTTGTTGACAGGTCTGTAATGTGTTGTGGTCAGAACATATAAATTATTTCCATCTAAGTAGCTTGCTCTATAACGTACTGAAATATCTTGTTAGGTTTTCACCTAGTCAAGTAAACCTTTAGCTATATTTCACTCTTGTTTATTCACATTTTCATTATGGCATGCTAATATGGAAAAATGACATCACAAACTAGCATAGTGAAACTCTTTATTTCACGTGTTTAAAGTTATTTAAACACGTAAGGTATTAAAAACTTTATTTCAAACGTTTTTAATTTTGTGAAAGCACAAAGAGCTAATTTTTAAGATGTTTCCTAAACTGCGGCGTTTCCCAAACAGCAGTATATGGGCACCTGCCTGTGCTCCAAAACGCTGAGTCCTCCTCAAGGTCACACGATCACATTTTAATTTTCTGGTGGTAAACGAGGTAACCAGCTTGCTTTAGTATTTTGTCGTACGGTTCGTTCGCCTTTACACTTGCTGGCCCGGTGAGCACACGTTGGCGCATCAGTGTCTCAGTCTCGGCCCAAAGTTCCTTTTAGTGTTTTCATGATTTTCCTCCGGTGCACTTCACACTATCCAGCGTCGTTGGTAAAATCTTGTGGTTGCATATCTTCTCCTTCCACGCTTACAACCTCCATCGCGGTGCTAGACGCAATGTCGAGACGTTCCGAAGGCCCCGCGGGCATCCTGGTCGTTGCTGTACCTCCAGCTCTGTTCGCGGCGGCGGATGCAATGGACGATCTGCGTGGAGACTCAAATTATTGGCGTTAGTGCCTGAAAAAGCAGGCCCACCTTGCAAATCTTGTTGTCCAAATGTTTCACTCAACTTGCTCGTCGATTGGTGTGGAAATTTTAGCGCCATTTTACAACAAAAATCGCTTGAAAACTTCGGAGCTCACACAACGTGTGCCTGCTCTCTGCGACTCCTAGCATTCAACCTCCAGAACTTAAAGAAAATGTATTTGAATGTCAATACCGTAAACTCTACTATGAGTTTGGTACGTTAGGAGCAAATGAAGGCTTGCAGAGAAGCTTGATATCAATTTATGTACCTAAAACGGTCTGTGCAGGTGTATATTTTCTGTTTATGAAAAGTGTGATTGTTAACCATTCTAAATGGTTTATTCTTGCAAAATTTATGTTACTATTGCCAGATGTTTTTAACAACCTTGTTCATTGTGCAATGGATACTCTGCTGCTAGACATGTATACATGAGGCAGTTGCTCTCACAATCTGCGGTCTCGGGAAATGTCCTTGAAGTGAGTGATGGCCAGTACATAGAAAATCATCAGTTCGGGTGTGGCATCGAAATATGTGCTACTAGTTGAGACTCAAGATATGCTGCTTAGTGATGACAACTCCAGACTTGCGTCTCTTCTTCAATCCATCAAAGCATTTGAATCTGCTCTTGAAGCCAAAAAGAGAAGCTTATGATAGGCAGAAAGTGAACATTTCACTTATCTTGTCTTTTCAGTGGTTGCCCATGTCCTTAGTTGTGTTTTATGAACATTAGTATTTTTTTTCTATTTCTCTTCAGTATATTCTGGTTTATTTGTGCTGTGCATATCTTATCTCTAGTTCCTCCACAGTCTCTAGTGTCAATCGTGGCATTTAATTGGTGGGAGCATAATTTTTTTATTTGTCGAGAGTGTCATCAGATTTAAACTTTCAAATGTTTTTATTAAGGGCTAGTAAAAACACTTTGTTTATCTTTACTTTCCTCTGGGTTGGCTCATGTCAGCTGTGCTATTTTAGTAACATGAACATTTATTTTTCATTTGTGTGAATTCTGGTCAGGTTGTGCTAATCCAAAGCTTTGCTTATTTCTAGTTGTCTCTTGAGTATTGCTCTTTTGGATCACGTCGATGACGGGATCACATATATTTAATTTGTTGCAAGTGCAGTTGGAAGAGTCATTGTTGAATGTCGATTAGAAGTTATTTGAGTTTTAATTTTAGTGTGGATCAGTGTACCACATAGAAACATGACACGCGCATAGAAAAAGGTTTCACACCTGCCTGTCTCTATGTGTGTGTTGCGTCTCTTTATTATACGTGCTACGCTAATACGCACTATGATTTATAGATGACCACCTCTCCAGAGCAAGAACACCTTTGAACTGTAGTTTTTTGTGTTTACCAGAAATACGAAATAGTGATTAGTGTTGATGTGAATTAGCAGAGACTGGAAATCTGCTACAAAACCTTTTTTGCTGCTACAGGGCAATATAATTCCTACCTCCTGAGCTGCTCTGAGAGGCTCAAGCCTGCTTGTACCCCTGAATATGTTGATTTACACATTATCTATGGTGTCTCTGTCAACAGTCACTATGTAACCATTATGGAAACCCTTTACTGTATTTTCCGCTTTCTTGAACTGTCAAAGGGAGCCTCTGCCTTTTTAAATTGTTACAAATCACCTTTAGCCCAATGTTTGTTGGTAAGTATGGTGTATTTTTTGACATCGTGTGTGTGTTGGTTGGTTTGTTACCTTAGTAATATAGTGATCACCAAGTAATTCATTGTATGAAAGTTACAATCTTCGTAGTAGATCTGATTTCATTCATATGTGGAGTAAGCAAAAATGTTGACCTGCAGAATGGTATTTTAACTGTGCAGCTGTGCCTACTCCTTTTGCTCCTTGCAAGCGCAGCTAGGGGCGGAGAGGGCTGCCCTTTATGCCGTACGATTGCAATAAATGTTACTTTATGTTTCTTTTGGATAGGTGAAGCGGATGATCTCGTCGTATGTGGGGGAAAATGCTGAGTTCGAGCGACAATATTTGTCGGGTGAGTTGGAACTGGAATTCGTACCACAGGTAAGCCCATAAATAGTCTACTGAGGTAGATAAAACTTAGGTGTACTCCATATGGTGTGTTTTATTTTTGATAACTCTTATGGCTCTGCCCAAAGAGATGAACTCTTATGAATCAATAGTTTGTTACAGGTTTATAACAAACCTGCTGGCAAGTCATTGCTTTCTACCATGAGCTTTCACGGACATTGTGCTGTATGAAATATCTGCGGGCTAACTTTTCTTTCTTAATGTTCATCAGATACTTTTTTTTTATCCTCTATCATACACATTTATTTGTTCATTTTATTGACACTTCTGTTGTAAAGGCTCAGTAGTCCTTTTTCTTTCTGTGGTGATTGGTATAGTAACTTGAAAACATACTGTAGTTATGCTGCTTGCTTAGGTAGTATATGTACAGAATGGTTTCTTTGTAATTCGGATGTTGAACTTGGTGGTTTGGATAACTCCTACTTGTCTTTCTTTAATTGGAGGCGGAAATGTTGTAGGCCCGTGTGCTCAGATTTGGGTGCACGTTAAAGAACCCCAGGTGGTCGAAATTTTCCGGAGCCCTCCACTACGGCGTCTGTCATAATCATATGGTGGTTTTGGGACGTTGAACCCCACAAATCAATCAATTGTCTTTCTTTATTGATTGCTGTTAATACCTTAATTATCGTTTTTTGTTAAGAAAGCCATTGAAAATCGAAGACAATGCTATTTGAAGCTGTTCGATGCCTTTGTGTGAACATTGTTTGCAATAGCATTGAGAGACGTTACCCCTGGACTGAGCTGTTATTTCACTCATTTAGAAACAAAGCGAATATGTAAAAAATATTGATATTACAAACCTCACGAAAAAGGGTCTATGCAGTTGATTCGTAATAAAATAATGACATCAAATGCTTGATTACCTACTGATGTAATGCAAATAGATAAATTTAAATGATATGACACACACCTTCATGAATAGTCTGTCATGTTTCAAAAGTTTATTTGTCTATGTATTCTTTTTTATGTAATAGCAATCATTACAGTATTATTTAACTTCGACATGCAGATTATCTGTACTTCCTTTGATATTGAATAAGCCATAAATACATGCGTGTATAATTTATCCCTTTGCTGTATACCTTGTACTGGGGGCACGAATCTTCGTCGCGTGGAAATTTACACTTTTTGTTAGAGCCTTCCTCATTTGCATGGAAATAAATTGAAATGCACATGACAGGTTGCAAAAGTAACCCTTATAACATAGCAGCATGACCTTTTTGTACTTTTCGGCCCTTTATAACCTTTTGTGCCCTTTATAACCTTTTGTGGAGCTTCAGCCCATAGTTATTGAATCAACTTTCACTATGCATTTAGTGCGTCTAACTATGCTGTGAGATGTCTGAATGTTCGTTCTCCGTGCGCCCTCATGAAGGGAACGCTTGCCGAGCGGCTACGTGCTGGTGGAGCAGGCATACCGGCTTTCTACACACCCACTGCCTACGGCACACTTATTCACAAAGGTGGCGCCCCCATCAAATACGACTCCAATGGCAATGTCGCCGTCAAAAGTGAACCGAGGCAGGTGAGCCGCATTGAAAAGAAATTATCAGCAAGCATGGGTCATGGGGAACTCTTGTACATGGCCTGTGGAACCGTTTAAAATCATTCACTTTTCTTAGTAGTTTGCCTTGCCGATTATGTTCAGTGCAGTGAGAGCTACTGGTAATTGGAGTGGATGATTGGGCCAGTTGGTTATTCACGATCGATGTATACTGTGTGGTAGAGAACAAGGACGAAAAGTAGATGGGGACAAGTGCAGGCTCCTGTTAACTGTAGCAGGAATTAATAACTTGTTTTTGTAACTCAGTGGCTACAGTGTTGCACCACTGCGTGCGAGATTGCAGATTCATTCCAGGCTTTTTTTTTTCGTTCAGGATTGAGACGTAGCTGCGTATAGTGAGTGGAAAAAGAAAATGGGCTTGCGAATTATGTTCCTGTAATCTATTCACAGTTTCATTCATTCAGTGTGGGCAACAGATGTATTAGTGACTGGCAATGCGTTAGCATTGCCCTCAAATCTGCGGTTTAGTTAGCTGGTGAGACCTGCAGCTTTTGCCGTGCTATGGAGACAAAGTGGTGTTGTAAATATTTTCACCGCATCATTCTAGAATGAATGACTGTAACACACCCATTTGGTGATTAACTATCTTCTTAATGAGAATGCTAATTGAAATTATTTCTTAAGAGACATTGCACAGTTGAAACAAATGCTGCTTCAAATGGATAATATTTTATAGCAACAAACTGCATACAAGTTCGCCCCTGTGTACTTTACTATAGTAGCTTAAACTGTGAAATGTGAAGAAAGGTATTCGGCAGTACGAGAATTAATTGTGTTTCACTTCACAGCACCAGGTATTCAATGGCAAGAACTACATTATGGAACAAGCCATCACGGGCGATTTTGCTCTCGTCAAGGCGTGGAAAGCAGACAAGGCTGGAAACTTAGTCTTTAGGCAAGTTATGTTCTACATTTTTGAAAATTTGAGGTGTAAACAGATGTAAATGTGTGGTGGGCCTACTCTTATTCATGCTTCACAGGAGCATATTCACAGATTCGATGGAAAGTGGAGGCAGTGAAGGTGTTTAAAAGTCCCATCTAATTATTTGCCCGATTAATCTATGAACATAAGCAGTTGCCTGCACCAGTGGAGAAGTTCAGCTACTGTTTAGTGAAGTGCACCCGAGGACTGTATCTCTCGCATGGTGTTACCATAATGTTGAACTACCATTTTCGCGTTACCCTTCAGACTGAATTTCATGTCTGGGCTTGACTATAGGTTGGCCGAAAATTACCGGGCCAGTATTCCATGTATTCCTATGGTAGTGTGGCCTGTGAACTTTTAACCTCCCTGTGCATGTTGTAATTGGTGGAGTTCTCTGTAAGTGTCAGCATAGGTGTGTGCATGGAGGGAGCGGGGGGCGGCTAGCCCCCTAGTCACCTCGTAGAGGGGGGGGGGGCACGAAGTCTGCCCCATACATTGACTTAATAGAGAGGGGAGGGGGGGGGGGGGAGGCAAGTTCCCCCACCCCTGAAGGGAAACCCTGCGCACATCTATGATAGGCAGCTAAGGCGATCTGTTCATTTCAGTGCATGTTGATCAGATAGAGCTTCAGGGCTGGCAGACTGTGTTCAATCATAAACGCTGCTGTTGATTCCCTGTCCAATCGGAAAACTAAAATGAGCTGTCCACTATGTGGTCTGTTATACCCGTGCCACACGGGCAGAAAAAATGGCATTTACCCCCGAATGCCTTAAGATTTATTGCCATTCGCGTGGTGCCACACGGGCGAACAAAATGGCATTCATCCGAATGCCATTCGAATGCCATTCGCCACCAACTGCCTTCGCCAGAACTCAGTTGACTGAAAAATGCCTACTCTCGACGACACAGCTCGCGAAGTGAGATTTACCTGAAAGTATATAAAAGAAATCATATTAAGCTAAATAATGAAACGCTTGTCAATTTTAGTGTCTATTTACGCTGTGGATCTGACTAGTGTTGGCTTAGGTTGCTACGGTCGGCTGCAACGTTGTAAAACAAAGCAAGAAACTAAAACTTAAAACATCGTAATACGCTTATTTCTACATTTGATGATTATCTGATGTGTTTGAAGCTTGTAAATGCTTCTTAATTTTTTTTATTGCTATTCACTCAATGCTCACTTGGAAGGTGCTGTGATCGACATCATCAAGTCAAATGTCATTCGCTTTGGACGTGTAGCAGCGCTGGCGAAACGAATGTCATTCGGGAACTGAAGGCCGTCGCCACCAAATGTCATTTTCTATGCCCGTGTGGCACGGGTATTACTTTTGTCCACTACTGGGGGTATCTTCATACTTGTCTGAAAACTGAATGAGAGTGCGATATGCAGGGAACAGTATTTTTGCCTCTTTACTTTGCCATCGTAGATTTGGCCACGTGACAGCCTTGTGCACTGTAATTGGCTTTCACTTTTGTACTGCTCTTTTCGATAACAGTTGAATCGTTGTTCCTCCCACTCCTTCAGGAAAACGGCATCGAATTTCAATCCAGTTATGTGCAAAGCCGCGAAGTACACAATAGCCGAAGTGAGTCCTTGTGTCACATTTGTAGCTTCTCTTGAGTCTCATTTGCATGTGTGAAACACTTAGTCTTCAAAATGTTTTACTCAGTGCTTTCCCCTTTTTTGGCTCCTTTTCCTTTTCTCCCAATCAGGTGGAAGAGATTGTTGAGATCGGTGCATTGCCTCCCGACCACATACACATTCCAAGCATTTATGTGGATGCTGTATACGAAGGAAAGAACTTTGAAAAGAGGATTGAGGTAACATGCAAGCACAATTTTTTATTTGAGAAAACTGCTTGCATTAACAGTCGCATGTGGTAAACAGTCACATGTGTAATGTGATTGTTACTTTTAGCTGCTTCAGACGTGATCAGTTATGGCCACGAAGAATGTTAATTACTGCTTGTTTATATAATTAATGTGTTGTGGGAATCTTGTAAGTGGGTAAAAAGAAAGTTAGTTGGGTATGTCCTTTTTTTTAGGTTACTTACTTTGAAATTGTTGCGAATGAGGCATGGGCATCTTGAAGCTAGGATTAATTAGCAGAGCTTGGTTTGCTATGATTGCATCTTTTACAATGAACAACGCCTTTATTGCTTTCTGTCTCCTATCATACCATTATCTAAAGCTTTCAGCAAGGCAATCGCAGTGCAGCTCTGACTTTTGCTCTGACCAATGCACCAGTGGGGCTAGAAACCTCCCAACTTCGAATCTGTATTACTCACAGGGCTATCCCTGTAAACAGTTTTTTGCAAAGAAGCTTGTTGTAATATCACAATTTGCCACTTTTAAAAAGTATAATTATATTGTTATAACAGCAAAAAAAAGTTAGACAAAATTTGTTAGTTCTTCTGAATTTTGAACAGCTGAATTTTTACCATTCACTTTAGTTTGAAATGATGTTCTATGAAACTTTCTTTGACTAAGACTTTAGAAAAATCTAGAAACAAATTTAACGAGCCATGCAAATTTAGTTTTTGAATGATGTTATTGTTTGGTTCTTGCAAGACTGATAGTATAGCTTCTATTCAAGTGTTGGGCACGCTGTCTGTATTTTCCAGTTTGTAAACTTGTACCTCTGACTGCATTGCAGAAAAAGAAGCTCAGGGAGAAAGCTGGCGCTAGTGCTGGTGGAAAAGATGACCTGAGAAGTCGCATTATCCGAAGGGCAGCGTTAGAATTTCAGGACGGCATGTATGGTATCCTTTTGTGGTTGCTATGCCTTGGTTGCTATGCATTATATAAGTGTGTCAGCTTCTTTACTTTAAAGTTGCGAGATGTGGCATCTTTAGATGCATTGTTATGTCGGATGTTAGATATACACTCAAACCTCATTCTAACAAAGTTGCATCTTACAAGAAAATAAGGTTGTTTTATCCAAAATTTTTTTACAAAGGTTACTTCTAACAGTGTATTCATTGCGAGACAGTTTTTCAATTGCTTTGTTTTAACTGATATTTTGTTATATAAGTGTTTGTTATATTGAGATCTGAGTGTACAGTTTGAGTTGTAGCAGCTGCGTTTCATCCTCTTGTTCAGCCAGAAACTTTGAGAGTACTTCAGCTCTACAGCAAGATATTTGTTAATTCTCCTGCTGATTCCTGGTCTGCAGATTAAGTTCTGTGTTGGCTGGAATAGAAAAACATTCGTTGGCTGAAGATATCAGGGTGGCCAAAATTTTCGAGGATGGCCTCTACTATTGCACAGTTGATGTGCAGCTTGACACCTAGCTTTTCTCAGCTAAATCGATCTATCAGTCAATCATATCTCTATTGCGATAGAGACTTGCCCCTAATATATAGTTCTTCATGTGTATATATTAGTATTATATATGTGCTGTAATACATGCTGTGTGAATCGAAGCAGTGCTGTGTCGAAACTGGTATCCTGAAATGCTGTATTCAGCATTTGCTGGATACAGCATTGGATACAGAAATGCTGTATCCAGCTGGATTTAACGCTGTACCAGAGATTGGTTTGCATTATTAGGCTGGAGTGTTCGATTTTAGGCCCGGACAAGTCTAGGCTAGGTAATGTGCATCTACCTTTCACAACTGGGAGGAAGCAGCTTGAGCAAGGAGCACCCAGTGGTAAATGCAACCAGTTCTATGTTGAGATCGCAGCCCGTCTAAGGGCCACCCTGGCCCAAAGCCTCCTAAGCACAATTCAATCAGTATAATCTATCAATTGGAAATATTTTTAGTTGGCCGGTTAGAAGACATTTATTTCTTCATGTTTTTGTATGATATGTGTGTTTTATCATTTCACTTTAGCCGAGCAGTCATAGCATTGAAGAATGTATGCTTTCACAGTCCTTAGCTAGTGTCTCACCAGTCAACCTTGGCATTGGTATACCGGTGCTTGCAAGCAACTACATTCCCAAAGGAGTTCATGTGGTGCTTCATAGTGAAAATGGAATCCTCGGAGTCGTAAGTCGATCTTTGTGTGTTCAAAGCTATACCAAGAGGTTATTCTACTTCATCATTCAATTGTTCCTCCAAGGGATGAATATATTCGATTAATAACCGTGTGCTGTTTTTTGCTGTCCAGAGTCGGTCGAGTTGACAAATGGTTAATGCTGCTGTTTCCTGAACAGTTTCTGATGAGTTATTTATGGCAAGGAAAAGATTTTTTCTAGAAAGTAATGACGCTTAATCATATTTTTATTGAAAGTGTTAGGACATGCACCCCCATTTTACTCTATGACCGGTCTGTCTACCCTATGTTAAATAAAAGAAATGATGAAAGAAAGAACAGGTACTTGAAGCCTACTTTTTTGTTTATCTGGTTCACGATAATGAACTTTCTTCTTCAGGGCCCATACCCCACGGAGGATGAGGTGGACCCCGACTTGATTAACGCAGGCAAGGAGACGGTCACTGCACTGCCTGGCGCTTCCTACTTTGGCAGCGACGAGTCGTTTGCTATGATTAGAGGGTAAATATTTTGTCACTTATCACAAGCTCTCTCAGCTTTCTCAGTGAGCTGGTTGAAGTAAATTCACTTGATGAACCCAACTGTCTATTCAAAATTCAAACCAAGAATGAAATTTATACCAAGAATGTCTGTTGAGGGTGTGCCGTATCACACCTTTCGCAAATTGCACCAGGCATGATCGGAACAGTTGGGGCTTGATCAATGAAAGTCGACAGAGACAATCGACAACATGTCTGATTGTGTGAATCTGTGCGTAGTAGCGGCAACTATATGTCATCATGACACATGTGCTGCTTTGTACTTTCCTGGTAGTCCGGAAAAGGATACCAATTGCTTTGTCCTTTGCTGAGCATTGTAGCAAATGACTGGGCCTTGCTGAGAGCTTTTCTTGATCGTTATGTAGCATGGAATAGTTGCATTTGCGCGTACTGCACTATGAAGCTAAGAAGGCTGCGGGACAGAGTTGCAGCCTGGCAAGGCATTGCAATGGAAACGAAATACTAGAGGCCCGTGTAGTTACATTTTGATGCTTGTTAAAAAACCCCGGGTGGTTGAAATTTTCGGAGCCCTCCACTGCGGCATTTCTCTTAATGATATTGTGATTTTGGGACATAAAATTCCAACAGGTATTACTACAAACTCTGCAGCTTGAAAGTCCCTGCCGAGTTGCCTGCTATCTCTAGTCTAACGTACCCCTTTGCATTATTCTGCCATTGTTTTTCAGAGGCCACATTGACCTTACAATGCTTGGTGCAATGGAGGTATCGCAATATGGGGACCTTGCCAACTGGATGATTCCGGTGGGTTGAAATTTCGAGCCCATGAAAGTAGGAATGAAAAGCAATTGCAAATGCCAATGTGAACTTTTTTTCACCGCAGTCTCTCTCAAGAGCATCGTAGTACTACTATAAACAAACATACGTCGTTGCCTTGTATGTTTGAGATGAGATGCAGTGTTTGCGTAGGTAGGTTATAGTGCATGAAACTTTTTTCATCTTACAAAAACAAATATGTTTACAATAGCATCTACTGAGTCGGGAATAGTGCTACTTAATCAGGCTTGCTAGATTTGGTCATTTGCTTTATGACCTACTGTGATTTTGCTGTATGCTTTCCCATTCCTACTAGTCGTCAGGATGGTCAATACCATCTTGTGGTGAAAAATGAAATGTTTTTTCGTCATGAGGTCATGAAAAAGAAGTGTGCCTCAATTTTCGCTCAAAATAGTTGTAACCTGACTTGGTGAGCAAAATTTTCCAAAATAAAGCTTGATCCACTGCATGGCTTGGCACAAACAAAATCTCCCTTTGTGCTTTTTAATTTCTGACGGTTTGATGTGTTATTATGCTGCCTACTCTCACAGCCAATACAGAACATAGTGTGTATGATGTGCTTTGCAATTTCTATCAGGACATATTTTGTATGCTAATCAACTCAATGAGCACGTTACTTTGAAAAAAACAAACAAAAAAACATTCAGGTATTTCTAGAAATGGCTTAATACAATATGGTTGGTTAATCACAAAAAAAAAGAGGTTCATCTGGGAATGTCTTCGGGTGTTAAAGCTGTGTGGTGATAAAACTTGACATTCCTGAGCAAAGTTTATTACACCGGCAGGTTTCGTTGAAGTGGGAAGAATTCTGGAGAACAAGAAATCTTATTACCACAGAGTTCTAACCTTTCACTGCTTTTTTATAAAGGAATTGTGTGTGAAGGTAATCAAAATTGATGAACCCATTTTTTTAAGGGGTCTGATTTTTTAAAGGTGCCCTTAACTTTACTTGCACAGGGTTGGGTAGGTGTTCACTTAGGATGCTGGGTGCTACGAAGACCTTATGGCTCGCCTATCTGAAAATGCGTTCTTGTTTTTGTTGTTGTGTCCATCATGCTTGCATTCTAATGGGACAGAACGAAAGAGTGTACAGTCGAATCTCGATAATTCGAACTCGAAGGGGCCTGAAAATTTGTTCGAATTAAAAGAAGTTCAAATTAATGAAAGCTAAATAAACGCAGGGCTCTCCGTGCAGTGGCGCATGTGTATTGAGCTAACACACGAGGGGGAAGTTTCAAAAGACTTACATTTATTCAAAAATCACAGGAAATTCGTTATTAATTGAAGTAATCGGTGATGCGCATCTGCACATGTTTGCCTTGTAGCGAGTCAATCAATTTCGCACGCAGCTTGCAAAGCATTTTTACTTCGGCTTCAGCATTCTCCTGGCAAGAGAAGTTGCACGCCAAAATGTGCCGTTGTCAGATAAAAAGGAGACTCGGCACGAAGCGCTTTGTCTCAGAGTCTCGCATAACTCATCAACCCATCATCATCCGTACGTCTGTCCCGGCTCTTCCTCCCCCCCCCCCTCCCCGGCGCCGTCGCTTTCTAAAGACAACAACGACTGCGTAGCGGGGAGCCGCAGCATGGCCAGCACATGAGGAGAAAGGAGAAGCGTCTCCACACAGAGAGAAGCAGATCAGCATTTTGAGAATAAACCAACACTCCACAGCAGCTTTTTTGTTCCTCTTCGCGCACTTCGTTGAAAGGAGAAGGGTTACGTGGCAGGGACGAAAAAGGGGGAAGCGTGGCATCGGCGCGTGACATTGGCGCTCCCGCAAGGGGCAAGGGCTGCAGAAGATAGTGCCTTTTTCCTTTCCTTCAACTACACATTCATTCAACCCAGCATCAGCTTTCTTTTTTTTCCCTCTCTCTCTTCGCGCACAGTGTTAAAAGGAGAAGGGTCTTTACGTGGCAGGGACGGAAAAGGGAGAAGCGTGACATGGGCGCACGCCGATCGGCATTTGAGAGAGAGCAAACATTCCACCACAGCCTTTTCTTTCCGTTTCATTTCCTCCGCGCGCGTTGAGGTGTCGCAGGTGCCGCCGCCGGATCGGGTGGGGTAGCGCAGTATGTTCGAATTAACCGTCGCAAGTGCTTGCACGTTCGAATTACCGGGCGTTTTCGCCTATTGGACTACACATAGCTTTGACGGGACCTCATCGTGAGTACAAATTAACCGGAAGTTCGAATTAAGCGTGTTCGAATGAATGAGATTCGACTTGACCTGTACTACTCTTGAGGTGCTCGTTAATGAAGCCCGTGTAGTTGGAATTGAGATCCCAGCATTTTGAAAGTGGCACCTGTAACAGTTCTTGCATTTTTCTTTACTAACTTGAACTGGACAGAAGGCTCTGGGCACAGTACCTTCTCTGGCGCCATCTTTCCTGACCTTTTCCTTTTTTTGGTGCAGGGTAAGATGGTGAAGGGCATGGGAGGTGCCATGGACTTGGTGTCCAGCAAGGCGGCCGGCACCAGAATTGTCGTCACCATGGAACACGTGGCGAAGGGCAACAAGCCGAAGATCAAGAGGGAATGCACGTTGCCGCTGACTGGCGAGCGCTGTGTTGACCTCATCATCACCGAGAAGGTGCTACTATTCTACAGCTGGGCATTATTGTTTCCTCAAAAATTTTTAGCTGTCTGTTCATTGAATGAAAACATTTTTGTGAATGAAATAATCTTTTGAGTGTTGCAAACAAAGACGAATGAGTTTGTAGTGTTGAAAGAAATTGTGATTGAATTGATGATGCACTTGTAAGAAGTAGCAGTGAAGTTCATAAAAAAGAAATAAATGAGAAGCCACTCACTCCACAAAGAGGGTGCCTTGCATCCTTCACTTCTAAACATACCCTTGCACCTTATGCTGTGAGTTGTTCCTTGGTTTCATTGCAATGAAATTTCAGCGAGTTCTTTATATGTAGGTAGCGGGTGAAAAAAAAAAAAGTTTCGTTAGATTTATGGCAGGGTTGACTCTGTGCTTTGACTGAAGTATTCAGCAGTATTTCTTGACTGTGTTTAGTATCTTCATGATGCCATTATGACTGATTCACAGCTGTAAATATGGATGCCCGTTGTAGTGGCTTGTCATTGACCTTTTGCTGTCCACATAGAGGGGCGGCGGAGCTTTTTTAAGTGACTGACTGCTTCCAAGCTCCTCTTTGTTACAAGGATTGAATTTTGACCACTTTTAGAAGCGGTGTTTGTTATAAAGTATCCCTTTGTTAACAGTCATGTTTGATATCTATTGAAGTTCATGTTGACATCACATCCTGACTTCCCCTTTTACTTCCAGTGTGTGTTTGAAGTGGATGAAAAGAAAGGCCTGACACTTGTTGAGATTGCAGATGGTCTTAAGGTCGATGACATCACAAGTAGCACAGCCTGCCCATTCGAGGTGAGTGTACTGGCACATCATAAAGGTCTGGAGCATTGGCCCTCTGTATTAAAGGCTTTTGGTAAACTATGTGCACCTTTTAAAGTGATGTATCCTAAAGATTATGACTAAGACAGGAAGGTGTCCTATACATGTGATAATGACAGATAGGAAAGTGTCACTGACATGTGTCATTTCTTATGCACAGGCATTGACTATGAAACTTGTGCATAGAAAATGGAAGCAAGAATTCTTGTGTTTGAGCACTTAAACTGGCGCTGACAATCTTTGAGGCCACCTGCTCAGACTCCTTTTTAGGTAACCAAATGGCAGGAGGCACAACCCGCTGGCAGAGAGTGTACATATGACCCTGCTACTGTAACACGAGACGCTTGTGTTGGGTCTCTACCTGCTGGTGGTGTTCATGCACAGTAATAGTTTTTGTTGCAAAATATTAACAGAACAAGTTGGAGCGTGCCCTACTCTATGGAAGACGAGGAGGCAGAGGGCGAATCTGGGCACGCGCACGTGGTCGGGGCAGTTCGTCGCTAGAATTTGCAATTAACGGACGCCTGTCTTTCACGTCTGGGTGAAGAGTCATTTCGCTACATTGTTAGTGCCACGAAACCCTGGACTGCCCCTCGAGACAGTTCCTTTCACGTTACGACCATGGCAAACTCTGACCACCTTCGGAAGAAGTGCGGCTAAAATTTGGTGTCACCCGAGCACTAGAACTTCTAACGGACCTTCTGCAGCAACCGGATCCTGACGCCTCTCAGATTAACGGCCACATGGATACAAGGAGGCAGTGCTGTCAAAGCTCGATGACATCATTCTTGTGACCACAAATGAAAAAATTCTCGACCACGAAGTAGGAACAGCGCGGGAATACAAGAAGAAAATTTTCTACGTGGTGTCGCGTGCCGAGTTCTGGTTTGAAGAACGTGATAGGACGGCCAGAACACAGGCTCAAGCAACCGAGCCCGGGCCCAGCTACCTCGAATTTCTGAACTCTGCGGACGCAGCAGGCCAGGTCAGAGAGCACTGTTAGCGTTCAGTGAAACTATTGAAGCTATAGATACCAACTTTCGATGGTAGTCTCAGTGGATAGCAGTCTTCTTGGAACGATTTCGATGCTACCATCCACAAGAATACTGAGCTGCCACGCATTGTAAAATTTAGGTACCTCCTCACCTACTTAACCGGAAGCGCGAAGCGAGCTGTCAAAGGCATCCGTCTAGCGGAGCAAAATTACAACCTTGCAACCCTCACAGATTGCCTTGGACGCCAGGATCTGCTTGTGAGCGAGCATGTTGATCATCTTTTTGCGCTAAGCCCCGTGAAAAGCTCGTCAGAGGTCTCAAAGCTTCGCCTGCTGCTCGACAGTGTGCAGTTTCAAGTTAGTGCCGTGGAAGGCCCCGTAGTTGCACCCGACCAGTATGCCGTGGTCTTAAACCCTGTCCTCATGCGATGTCTGCCAGAGGATCTTGCCATTATGTAGAAGCAGAAATCCAAGGAATCGAACGGCGCCTCTAGCTTGCCGTTACCCCTGAAGACCGAACACGGCTAGCCAAGGAGTTACTAACGTTTCTTCACATTCAAGTGGAAATCCGTGAGGAGGGCCGGCTACAGTCTCGTGCATCGCAAGACGAACCCAGGACGCACATATCTGAAGAAATGTATGCCGTGGAATGCATACCGCCAGTGTCAGCACTAACTGAATCTACATTGCTTGTTAGATTGCCGTGCCCACTATGTCAAACCAACGATCATGTTATCGCTGTCTGCAACGCCAACCTATCAGCTGAGGAGAAGCGAGCAAGGCTGCAGTACGCCAATTGTTGCTTTCGCTGTGGAACATGCAATCACATCGCCAGATTGTACCGAAAACCTATCGGCCTCAAGTGTGGTAGCTGCCAGCGGAGCCACCTGACAATTTTCTGCGAGTTATCCAGGCCAGCGGGGCATCCACAGCCAAAGGATGAGTCACCCGCGTCTCGCGAAACCCCATCGGATATCATGCGAAGAGTCACGACTGCCCAAAACAACCACATTGAATCTACTCTTGTATTATTGCAGGCAGGCCGAATTTGGGCAGAGTTCGAAGACCGATGACTCCTTGTGTGATTGCTGTTGATAGTGGTAGTCAGCGCTCATACATTCGTGCAGACCTGTCGAAGATTCTTCAGTGTTCCGTCGCGGCAAAAGAAGAGCTACGAGCTATCTCTCGTCATGTTTGGTGACTCAAGATCATCAAGATGAATCTGCACAGAGGGTGTGAATGTGCGACTATGCAGCCAGTTCGATGTCTTCGCAATAACCGTGGAAGCATTCACGATTCCGGAAATATGCACCGTCACAAGTCCACCACTCGAGCCCAACATTTTGCACCCGCTTGACGAACAGGGGTACAATGCATCTGACAGCCTTCAAACAAATGCATGGCAATCTGAAGAGATAAGTGTCCTCGTTGGATCTGACGCTTATTGGCAAGTTGCCTCTGGGAAAATCAATCACATCAGCGGAAGTATAACTGCGATCGAAACTACTTTTGGATGGATAGTGCAAGGCCCTATCAAGTCCGACTTTTGCTCCTCATCTAGCACGCTGTTCACCGTGAGTCATGGTTTGGCTACGAACGTTGACGTATTGTCACTGTCACCTTTCGATGCTATTGGGATCAATGGTACCCATTCTCGAACCTTAGACAAGCACCCCTTCATCTCTGCGTTCGAGCAAGGCATATCTAAGGGAAATAAGTGGCATCAACTTGATGATTATGTTGCTGGCGGCCGGAACATGGAACAATCTGAGATGCCAGGCAAGCGAGTTGACTCTCGTCATGACCGCACTCGTTTTTGTCATCGGCAGTGCCATGGTGGTGACGCCGACCTTGCACGACTTGTTCCAGACCGGCCAAGGTCGCGTCCTCGAGATTCGTCACGTCAAGTGCACCTATCCCAAGTACGTGAAGGTGTAAGACAGCCGCAAATCAATGACCGCAATGCTCAGGCACTGCGGAAGCAGGGGAAGTGGCGCCCAAGAAATCGGTGCTGTTCATTGACTGTGAAGACCCGCTCAAGAGGGTTTCGACCGCTGAACACAGAAGGAACGCAAGGAGCGCAACAGTTCCTTCAATGACGATGTCTACGATAAGGACAACAACTTGGCCCAGGGCAATTATCTGGACTACTTGCCTAATTTTGACCATACGCCATCTGGTGGAGAGGACACACAATGGTTTTACTGGAGGAATCCCATGAGGCTTCTAAGCCAACACTCGAGAATCACCGGCAAACCTTATAAATCGTCCCACTACTGCAGCTCAGTTAGGCATTACACCACGAAGATGTCACAACAGTGATCCCGACGAGCTCAAGTGCTTCGTCCTGTCCCATTTCTTACTGACGGATCGGGACACCTTGCTACGACACCATGCCTTCACCTTGGGGCTCTCGAAAGAACATGTATCGCAACACAAGGCCCGTCATCGCCAACACTAGGCGGTTGGCCTATGGAAAACATACCAGTGAGCTGCCCACATATCTTTGTCAGGCCATATTGCTACCGCGGAAGTTTCACTTTCGACGTGTGGGATTCATCTTGGGCCCCCTGGAGGATGTCGCGAAATAATAACGAAGCAACTTGAAGCGTGCCGCACTCTATGGAAGACGAGAAAACAGAGGGCGAATGGGGCATGCCCACGTGGTCGGAGCAGTTCGCCGCTAGAATTGGCACTAAACGGATGTGTCTCTTTCACGTCTGGGTGACGAGTCATTTCGCTAGTTTTTTTTATTTATCAGGCACACATTTCAAAGGATCAGTCACCCTGGATATAACAAACCTTGATATAACGAACACTTCTATAACAAAATGAGAGAAAAAGTGTAGTCAGAGATAGTGCTACGAGTATGTTTATAACGAGTTTTCGGATATAACGAAGTTATTTTCGTGTCAAATGCGATTTCATTCAGTGCAGTTATAGTTAATAGGATGTCTATCAGTAATGGACAGTGAATCAGGGTGATGGGTGGTAAAGCGGAAGGGGTGGATGGCATTTTCACTGCCGGTGATCATGAACAAAATGGTGTTGCAGTCAATTAAAAAAGACTTTGCATAACTAGAGATGAATTGATTAAACAGGAAAACGTTTGCCTCACTTCTTCCTTCACGGGTCCCACTCATCTCGTGTGGGGTACGTTACTCTGCCTCCTGCAAATTTATTTCTTGTTCCACATTAAACGTTGTTTCAGCAATAAGAATTTATTTATTTATTCTGAAAAAGGGTTTATTGACGACTGTTGCGACGGTGGTCCTACGAAGAAACACGATCGTGCAAGAGCAACGGTCAAGCAGATGCCGGCGATGATCAGCACGAGCCGAGCAAGCGAAGCCCAGCACCCAGTACCCAAGCGGTGGCGATGTTGCTTGCCAACGACGCTCTTTCTTCTTCACAATTTGCCCCTGCCGAAAAAGAGCCATCCTGGCGACCTAAGAGTCTGGAGGCAGAGGGCTATAATATGGCTTGAGGCGGGCGACGTGGACGATGTCACGTCCACGCCGGCGCATGTCGTCAGATGGGGAAAGTGGCTCGATGAGAAAATTCACCGGCGAGGTTTGCTCCAAAACGCGGTATGGGCCCTCGTACTTTGGAACGAGTTTTGAGGAAATGCCGGGGGTTTGGTAAGGAACAGCCAGCCATACAAGTGATCCCGGGGAATAGCTGGGGCTTTGTGAAGAGTCGACGTTGTTTTCTTTCTGGCGCTGTTGTTCTCGAGACGTAAAGGTGCATGCGAGTTCACGGCACTCTTCCGCATTTCGTGCAGCTTCGGACACGGATGGGCATTCGGATGCGTCAGGACGGTATGGAAGGAGAGTATCGATGGTGTGGGATGGTTCGCGTCCATAAAGAAGAAAGAAAGGTGAAAATCCAGTGGTAGACTGTGCCGCGGTGTTATATGCGAACGTAATGAATGGAAGAATGCGATCCCAGTTAGTATGATCGGATGTCACATACATGG